CCTTCCTCTTCCCCTCTCTTTTTTCCTTCTCCCCCTCTCTTGCCTCCCTCCTCTCGCCCTTCTTTCGGCCCTATCATCCTCTCTTTCTCCCTCTCTCGTACCTCCTTTCCTCCCCCCTCTCTCTCTCTTCTCCTTCCCACCCCCCTCTCCGTTGGGACAGACTGAAGAGGCCACTGAGTTTACTTAATTTCCACTTGTTAATAATAATAAGAAAATTAACACAATAACAGTGACCTCTCATGACCTCTGATAGTTGACCTCTCATAAGCCCGTGCAATTGGTGGCCTATGAGAGAAGCTTAGCTGCCCTGGGGGTCACCAAGTCACGTTCAATACGGTATTAAGCTTCATTTCTCCTAAAGCTTTTAGTCAATGGTCGGATTTGGGTTAAGAATCGTAAACTAAGTATTGGGTAAGAAATTAGATTTTACCTAAACCTATCTAACCTAACCTAACCTAACCCAACCTAATCCAAATAAACACAACCTAACCTTAACTAATCCAAACCAAACCTAAGCTAACCTAATTTTCAATAACCTCACATAACAAGAGACATACGAGTATTTAACATGATTCTGTGACACCTAACTCAACATTACATCGTAGGTGACCTGACCTGGACCACCATGCCTCTCTCGGGGGTTTTAAACGTGTTAATAACGTGACATAAACATGAACTGTGACGCCCAAACGTGACTTTCTAATCATCTGAGGACTTACCACACACACAAGAGACATAATGTTTGGGACTCCTCTATATTGTTGCCTCCGATGCTCTCTTGTTTGTACGTGACCTGATTGATCTAACACCACTAAAGGGGGGTTGGGTTAGATTAGGTTAAGTTAGGTTAGTGGTCAAATCTTCAGGTGAAATAATATGAGGTGTCTCCAGTGGTAATTCATCCCCCGAGATTCATCCACTCCATAGAGGATTATTATCATCAACATTCCTCCAGTCACCTTCAAGTTTTTCCTCGAGTGTTTACATAACTACAATATTCATTTATATACACACACATTGATATACACATATTTACATTCACACATTTACATAAGAACATAAGAATGGAGGAAACTGCAGCCGGCCTATTGGCCCATACTGAGCAATCCCGTTTCCACCCAACCCCTATCGCTCGTATATCCAGGGAGGTCCTGAGCTAATGTGGATTGTTGCTTTGCTACGTTAAGATTTAATCATCGTATACCCACCCAACCTTTGTTTGAAGCTATCCAGCGTATTCGAGTTAATGATGATATTTGGTAACTTGTTCCATTCATCCACTACTCTGTTTCCAAACCAGTGTTTACCTATTTCACGCCTAAATCTAAATTTGTCTAATTTAAAACCATTGTTTCGAGTTCGCTCCTGGTTGGATAGTTTGAGTACCTTTTTAATGTCACCTTTGTTTAACCCTGACTTCCATTTATACACCTCTATCAGGTCGCCCCTCACTCTACGTCTCTCGAGGGAGTGCAAATTAAGATACTTTAACCTGTCTCTGTACTCAAGGTTCCTAATGCCCGGGATTAGTCTTGTCATTCTCCTCTGAATTCTTTCTAAGGATTCTATATCCATTCTGTAGTACGGTGACCAGAACTGAACTGCGTAATCCAAGTGCGAGGTTTCACACACATACACACATTTACATACACACATTCAAATACACACACATTTATATACACACACATTTACATACACACCCATTTATATACACACCCATTTATATACACACACATTTATATACACACACATTTACATACACACCCATTTATATACACCCATTACACCAATATATTTCTTTATTACTAAGCACTATTTCTGACAACACATCTAGGCGGAGGACAAGAGAAAAAACACGATAATGAACTAAGAATCAGGTTTAATAAGGAGACAAGGCACAGCCATTCATATATTGATCGTGTGTAAGTCTATGCCTACGACGCTAAACCATTGATGAATAAGAATCTAATCTAGTCTAGTCTAACCTAACCTAACCATACCATCCTGCCTGAGCTTAAAAAAACATCGTTGTTCATTTCTTTTAGGTTAAGTTAGGTTAGCTTGGTTCGTGTCCTCTTAATAAATGATTTAATGTGGTGTGGCATGGTGTGTGGTGTGATAGTGATATGGTGTGGTATAGTGTGATAGTGGTGTGGTGTGGCAGTCTCACAGCTGTCGGCTTGTTTACAGATGACGTCGCCTACAACTCTGATCTTCATATGGTCCCAGCAGACATGATTCTAAAGAAGTTCACTAAGTTTAAATTCGTTTCTCCTAACACCGCCCCGCCAGTTTCTGCACTCAGTAATGTTCACTAATTATGTAAACAAACTTGCCATAAACCTAATTAGTCTGAGAGTCTAAACTCCACCTTTACCGAGAGTATTTGGGGATAATTACCTGTACGTCGGGAGTAAAGTAAAGAATTGAGAAACAGAAAGACAGAGACACAACTATGGTAGGTAATAAAACTGAGAAATATACATACGGATATATACTGATACACAAAGTAAGATAGTGAAATAGACTGACATATATACGTCATAGAGATGCACTCGAGACTGACTTAGATGTATTATTAGATAGGAAGATAGATAACCCGAAATCAAGATAGTTTCTCTATTTAACTTTTTTTCAACTTATATATTTATTAACAAATATAGATTAATCAAAATATATTCACAGCTTTTATTTTTTTCACCTAAATATTTATTACAAAATTGAAAGATAAACAAACGAAAATGAAGATAAATACCTTTATGTATTGTTTCACTTATAGAATTGATTAACTTTTTACTGCTTAAGCTTATCACCAAACAGACAGATAACGCAGAATAAATATATCTTATTTATTAAACATATACTGCAAATAGATAACACAAAATAAAGATGCTATTTTATTTATTTTTATCACTTTATTATACAGTATATTTCCCCTGGGAGCGTGCGGGGGGTGAAGTCTAGAATGCACTAAGAGGGGGAGTGGCCTGTTATCCCCGGGGGGAGGGAGGGAACAAAATGACCCTTCAGCCACCGGGCCACAAGGACCAAGAGCCCACTCCCCCTAGTGAATTATTTCCCTGGTGGCAGTGCATGCGGGTCACGTGACTCCTAATGACCAGGGTTCGCCTCTCACCCTCTCGTCCTCCCGTAATTGTCCATAAACCTTCCTTCCTCCCTCACTCTCCCCTGCTACTAAGTCGAGTGTTCCAGAGGCTCAAGAAACCCGCTAAAACTAACACACAAGTAGATACGTAAATAAATAACACTAATAATAAATCCTTCAGTGTAAGAGTGGCAGGGTGTAGTGTTGAACATTCCAACACACAGTACTGCCTGACTCTCCACCACGCATTATACACAGCAGTGACGTCAAATGTAAACAAACTTGAGAGGGACCTTTGCAACGGAGCGGACCCGAATTTCCGGCATTCATCAACCCAGCAGGCCAAACCTCACATTAAAAACGTACACAAATATTTTTAATAATCTTGAGAACGAGTGAACTTCTTGGATATATTTATATGAGAAGAGTCGGGTACTTATCATCATTGTATATCTGCATTCCAGCGGTCACCATCACGCGGATGACTGCAGCAGCTTCATCATGCAGCCTCGCCGTCTCCGTCAGAAATTTATCTCCTACACGATAGCAGCAGATGCCGCTATGCATCTATGAGAAGTCCTAGTCTGGTAAATATTTGCAACATAGGTGTCTTTTTTTTTATATCTCCACCAGCATCAAAGCCTGGCAGATCAATGAGCGCATTCACCTCAGAACCGTGTACACACTGGTATTACCCACACCCACTTAACATTGTGTGCAACTCAAAGCAAAATTCTTCCCGCTCTGTCTCCAGGGTATCAATAACGCCTGCAGGAGGGTGTGTACTCGGCCAAGGTAGGACGTGAGGGTCATGTGGTCAGCAGCACACGTCCACCTTGCGGTACTTGAGGGAAACTATAACCGGTAAGACCTTCCTCCTTTACCGTAAACATTTTGCAATTGTTCCTCCCACACACACCGTGTTGGTCTCTCGGGTTCATTGGGGATAAGTTAGTGGTGCCAAACTTCTCATTCAACATGGAACATCAGGCACAAATGAGCAAATCGTACGAGTCCGGCGACAGCTAACTTTCGTGCCTCCGTCATAACGCAGCGTTCTGCAGATATAGCAAAACTTGGCGCTTAATCCATAATTACAATCCCAAATTAACAGTCATGAAATACTCCGAATTCTAGATATTTCTGATGAAGGTTGTGAAACCTAATGCATGTATTAAACCAGAGGATGTTTCTAGATATTCATAACAACGAAGTATCGGCAGATGACGCTTGGCAACTGAGGAGCTGGTCTGGCACCCCACCCAAAATAGTGGCACCGGTGGCTCGTCCCGACCCTCTCACCTCGTGTGTTAAGACCGGATACAATACATTCATGAGAAATTACCATAGATGAAAACTACCATAAGATAGCTTTATTTTCATGCAGTGATTTCTGTGATGTTCGCAAAAGAAACGTTTACAGCAGTCGACAGCGAGGCGTGAAAGTCGCTCCTCTACATGTGAGCGAACACTCGAACACTGTCCCCGAGTACACTGGAACCGCAGCAGTAGCACGCTGGTATAATGTACCTGTATATGGCACATATGTACTTTTAGCCTTCACAATGATTTTTTCTCTGGGATGTAAACTAATTACCGAGAAGCCTTCATTCTGCTTATTTTTTTTTCTTACCCGAGCACCACCTCGGTCACAACCCTAAATACGTCCACGACTTTGCTTTCATACCATCGATTATGATCACCAGGCAGTCACTTCCGCCAGTCAGGATGTGTACTGTCGGCAGCATAAGGTGAATATGGTAACAAACGACAATAGACTCTGTAATGGTAGTGCAACCCGCCGCGTGGTGACTAGGGCTGGGCACTCCAAGAGGTGGACGCCGCCATGAAGATGCCCAGCAGCCTGCCACACACCTCAACCTCTCCCACTAACCTTGGTCAAGCTGGCAGATGAAGAAGAGGACGGCTGCTTGCTGCTGAGGACGGCTGCTTGCTGCTGATGGCGACGCTGTAGAAGGCAGGGGGTTGAAGAGGAACACCCTGGTAGCTTAGACGTTGTTTCCTGGCGGCACTTCACAGTACTGGGCACACGAGCGACACAGCTGCCCACGAAACCTATAACTACGCGCTGAGCTGAGGCGCTAGAGTCATCTAGACTTCTCTCGAGAAGGTAAAAATAACCTGGAGAGGGCGGAGACGGAGGAGGGAACCAGCAGGTGGGAGAAGAGAGGAAACGCGCGCAGAAGAGAAAACGAAAAGAGTAAGTGAGAGAAAACACGATAACCGCCCAACCAATAAACGAAAAACTTTGGACTATTACCCAATAATTTTTTTTTACCTAAAACACTAATCGCAACTATTCTAATCCGAGTGTGGTATATATATTTTTTCAAAAATAACTAATCGAGAATATTTTCCAGTTAGCGAACCAGGCGGGGCATTGAGGCAACCTATGCGATCAGGAAATATTTGTGGTGGTAGAGTGTTGCAGGAGGTGGTGGTGGTGGAGAGGTACACACAACCAACCCGCCCGACGCCACAGACAACACTGACACCACTGAGTGAGTGGCCGCTGCAGCGCTTCACTCCCAGACTGGTGGTGGGTTGGGAGGCCGGCCCGGCCCGGGTGCCCTGGTAGTCCTCCCTTCTTCCTCCTCCTCCTCCACCACTTGATTCACTAGGTCCCCGCCCACCTCCACCCTAACTGCCTCATTATCAACACTAACTAATACACTTACTGACAACACCCATCACCGCCACTACAAGAACTAACACTAACAAATATTCACACACACACACACACACACACACACACACACACACACACAGCTATATTACTATTGTATGTGTTTAGCAGTTCCTGGCTTCTCATTTCTTACCTTCGTGTACCTGTACGCGTGTAACTGTGTAAGTGTGCGTCATTTATGTGTATCTGTACATTTGTGTCTATATACACACTTATTTCAACACGAGTTTTCATACTGGATCATGGATATGTATTGCAAATGTGGATTCAGGAATGTATATATGTATGTATACGAGCGCCCGAGGATACATAGCGTAGGAGCTCTTGTTCAAAATACTTAATAACACAACGACTTCTATCGCTAATATTATTTTCCTGTGAGTCACTTTACTTTCCAACACCACAGCCCAGCCCTCTTTTTACAGGATTAACGCCTCCAATGACTCAGTGGTCCGATAATTCCCTAGTCCGGTAGTTCATTACTCCAAAGATTAGGTTAAGTTGAGACCACTGAACCGCCAGGACCACCCCAGAACCGCTTACCCCATATTGTTTACTGCACTCCTCTTCCTTTTCTCATCCAGTCCTCCTGTCACATCGAATTAAGAACAGAAAGAAGAAAGGAAGGAAGGAAGGATGTACTGTTTAATTTGTCTTGACCGTTTATGAGTGATGTAAAAAAAAACATTACTACCACATGATAAATAAACGCTCATTTAATGGAACAATGAGGTAATTATCGCTCGCAAAAATATTACACTTCGTACACTAATTAGTGTCTCGTTTAGCGATGTTAATTTGGGTATTATTATTTGTACTATTATTATTATTAGTAGTAGTAGTAGTAGAACACAACGGGTGAGGTGGATACCAGCGAAGTAAACAAGATTTGACGGTCCATTACGACAGAACGACAGCACGGCCAAAGTGATAAGTTGCAGCAACTGTTGTTGCAAGTCCCGGAGAATTTGAAGAAAAAAAAGTAGCGATAGCGCAGGAGGTGGGCGCCTCGAACTGGTTAACTACGTTACCGATAAGGGCAAATGGTTTCAGTCTCAATAAACAAGAATTTACAGATGCCATTGCTCTAAGGTACGGTAGGCCAGTACAGTAGAAGGTTTGCCCTCCCAATGCGTGTGTGGCTCTTCCTATGACGTCGATCACGTCATGGTGTACAAGAAAGGGGGCTTCATATGCATGAGGCTCGACGAAGTAAGGGACCTCACAGCAAATATGTTGAAGGAAGTCTGTCGTGATGTCAGGGTAGAACCGACCCTCCTTCCATTGGGCGGTGAGAATTTCCAACATAGGACTTCAAATACATCCAACGAAGCTCGTGTTGAAGTCAGTGCTCGAGGATTCTGGACGCTGGGATAGTGAGCCTTCTTCGACATCAGGATTGTTTATCCCATGGCCGCATGTCACCGTAACTTAACCCTCGATGCTGCACACAGGAGGAACGAGAACGACAAGATAAAGACATACGGGGAGAGAATTCAGAACGTTGATCAAGGCAGCTTCACTCTGGTGTTCACAACCTCTGGTGGGATGGGACCAAGTGCAAGATGCTTCTACGCCAGACTCGCGGAGGTGATCTCCGAACAGAAGCAGCAGCCCAGAAGTTATGTTACAGCCTGGATGAGATGTCGACTGTCCTTCTCTCTCCTTAGGTCTGCTTTACTCTGCCTCAGGGGAACGAGAGCATCGGCCCCAAAGCCGACAACAGTTGCAGATATTGACTATGAGGCAACTGTCACTGAATGCCGCATAGATCTGCGGCTTAACTAACTCAACTCAGCAAGGGTGGCTACTTATGTATTAGGATATTTAATTTTAAGGTAATAAAATAGCGGCGAAGGTGTGGCTATTGGGGGAGGCTGGAGGCCACGTTTTTTTTTTGTATTATTAGTAGTAGTCGTAGTAGTAGTAGTAGTAGTAGTAGTAGTAGTAGTAGTAGTAGTAGTACAGTATCAATATTATTATTATTATTATTATTCAACCACCACAGAGAAAGTAAACACAGTCGATGTTTATCATACAAGTGTCAGCAGAAGCTTATCTTGAGTGCACTGTACAACAAAGAGCTTCATACTGTGTCACTGTGGCGAAGCTCAACATGGACTAGGTCCAGACTCACAAGATTCGTCTGAGTGAATAATCCTCGTAATTATAGGTGTAAAGAGTGGACGAAAAATTGACGTACTGATTCTTTCCAAGGAGTCTATACTGTATATACTTTAATTTTAATGCTAAGTTTTTAATTAGGATAAGAATCTGCCATGTTTATATATTCTTGTGACCATTATCTATAGTTGTTAAGTAGTTTCACTCTTACATCTTCTCTTACAAGGATTATTCATAGCACGAACCTCTGAGAATCAACACCAAGTAAGCGCGTGTTTTGGCCGGATAACAGACAACATCGGGGCGCAAAAACGATGTCAGCGGCGGCGTGTGGTGTTGCCTAACGATTTATAATGAAAGCTGTCTCTTAAACCACTTCAAGGACAACTAACTTTGTGAAATATAGATGAAAAATATGCCAAAATCTGTTTATTATATTTTTTTTCCGTAAGCTGGTGATCATGTCGTGTTGTTCCGAATTATATAACAGCGTCTATCGGAGGATAGCGAGCGTCTTAAGCATTACGGGTAATTAAAACTTATTTACGGATACGAGGTCACTTTCCCTAGTTTTATTTATAAGCATGACAGCTAACTTGCGAACATATTGCTGACGTAAGCGTGAAATTTTTTATTTTTTACCGACCTCAGTTTAACACGGGTGTCTCTGAGGTTCTGGGGGTTGGGGAGGGGGGGGGGGTGTAATACGACTTCTAATGTTGGGAAAAATATCGCTAACTGGACGGCTAAATCCTTTTTTCTTTTTCAGACAACACGAATTAGCCTAACCTAGACTAGATTAACGACACATACCTAAGGATTGATAAGGCAGGTTAAACCACAGATTGTCAACTTAAAAAAAATACAATTGTGTAGAGGTTTTGTTAGCAGAATCACTCTAACATTGACCATCTTAATGCGTTATTTTTTTTCCATTTCGAATCTTACAGCCACATATTTTTACCCTATATCTTGAGTGATCTTACAGCATCACCAAACTCAACCCTCTTCGTTATCAACTTTCCCTACATACGCCAAGTAGGAGCACATCAGCGACATCGTGTTTCTAAATAGATCCAGGATTCATACAAGATGACAGCACACAACCTCCAACTAACCCAACCAGACTGTGAATTTTTTTTATACATATATACACCTGACTATCTTAAGTGAACACCTGACTGCCTTCTCCTCCTCCCTGAACTGAATCCCATCCTGTCAGGTAGTGAAAAAATTAAACCATCTATCATACTATATCTTTCGGTGTTAAAATACAAGAAATATGGTTAATTATATATATCATGGTCATGTAAGTCACAGGTGCCTCAAACCCTCCCTCAGGAACCTTCACTCGTGCAAATTTAATCATTTTCTTGAGGTAAATTAAAAGGATTTATCAGTTGCCTTCAGGAGAGATGCAGTTAGTATCGTTGTTGTTCATTTTGCATTTGCATTATTCTGGGTCAATAAATTCACTACCTATCCATCACCCCACACTACCCTGTCCTACCCACCACTCCACACTGCCCTGACCTGTCCTGCCCATCACCCCACACTGCCCTACCCTACCCGGACCCATCACTGTCCTGCCCTTGGGTGTTATTACATTAAAATGAATTATCATGCATAAGGCTGCCATAGACGCTACGAGCCTACGAGTATTAACAACCATAACATCCTCTACGAGCGTTAAACACGTTGCAGGTGTAAGATAACTACACCAAGGTTACTACGTCAACCAGATAAAAGAAGTAACTACACCTGGGGAGCTCCTAAGTAAAGTATAATAACATTAATTCCCGGAATGTGTGTAATTACCAGCACTTGGGAGTCGAGCGTCTGAGTCAACCACCGTGCTGGGAGAAATACTGAATATGCTTTTGTAAAATTCAAGTAAACTAATAAACCTTTAAGATAAGTTGGTTAGCAAGTAGTAAGGGGCTGTTTACAAATACGTAGTGGTTTTGTTAATTTATGTATGTATTTCCTTCCGCCCGTAGATATTGTAAACAAAGGGATCATAATACATTATTGTAAGTCGAAATCCTAAGTAGTAACAGTATATTCAATATATATTTTCATATGGCAATAGTAAAATTTAGACTAAGCGTTTGTACAGGGTATATTTTTTTCGTTACAAGGCTGTTTACGGTGTTTTGCGACCCATTGAGAGTGACAAATGTTTCAAGTATACAGGTAACGATTTTACCCATAGACCAGAGGATTAAATTTGTTTCCCTGAGATAGACCCAAGACTAAGTTCTTCCATTAGCATCCAGTAGAGATCTAAGGTGACAGGAGTGTGTTTGTTATGGTGTCGGCTGAAAGAATGAGGTCACTAAAACACCTGGTAACAGAAAACGGGTGACCAAGAATCAGCCACTGAGTGTAGGTGGCGTGAGGGTATATTTGTCAGTTACACAGCCAGTCCTGAAGCCATGGTAATTTAAGCAACAAGATATCATATTGGCACCACTTCCTCCACCGCGCCTGTAAGTGCCTAGGGTAATTCTTACTCACGAGGACTTATTGATAGCGAGAAAATACGGAAATGTTACCCTCTTAAATGCTAAAAACTACCTCATGGTCAGGCAGTCACAGGAGAGAAGGCGTAGGAACCATCTCAACTAAAAATGCCTTATGGGAGAATGCCTAGGGTTAAGTATCAACATTTTGGCCCCGACAATAGTTAGACGACATTTGGGTCATTATCTGAGAAGCCTTTTCTGTATGCTTCAATTTATCATTCATTTAATTATCTGATTTGTAATTAAACACATCATCAAAGACTTACTTAAAAGAGAAGAGGGGATAAAGCAATATCATGTCTACTGGAAAATTCTTACTAAATTTGTTGCTCCTTACCAAGAGTATCAAACTAATGCACACAAAAAGGTCAATGTTAAACTACCACGAATATGACAATTGAATTATATATTTTATAGACGCCACAAACCAAGCTAACATAATCTAGCTAAAAACTGCCTTGGGAGTGTAGTGTCAGTAGGGGTTAAGTTAGCGCCACCTGCTTTAAACATCTTTCTTAATGGATTATCTTGTCTCCTCGTACTTGCTAATAAACATACTCCCGAATTCGTAAACTAGACATTAGACATATTTGTGAATTAAAAAATAGTGTTACAAGAAAATAATTCGACCCAGCATGACATGACAGTTATTGGTAAAATAATAGTTTTTCATTTGTTGGGTCGTGTAAATAAAGCCCTGGCCGCTGCATCACCCACAGAGTTCTATCTCATAATTTTTAATGTTGTTGCTCTAAGCTAGAATATTACTAACCTTGTTGACGCTTACAGACCTTCGTTGATGAGGCGCAGTGATAAATAACATTATAACAACAGCAATACCTACAGTCATTAGAACGATAAACAAATATAAAGTATACACTACGGAATTCAATATCCAGCTTCTTGGAAAACCAGACTATGGGCACTAACACGTGTATAATTATCTACAACTAATTCATATTGAAAGTAAACATACGTGAGCTGTGAACACAGGAGAGAAGGGAACTGCAGGACTCCAGCCTCTGATGGTTGCTATTGCTGCTGTGACACAAAATAGTCTGTAGTCCGTCCCCTTGGCAGTCTCACTTTCTCCGTAATTTTCTTGCATTAATTTTCTAAAGATTGTCATTTTTCTGACAGCTCCTTGTCACACACACATTCTGTAGAGAGCTATATAGTGTTCGTCAATCGTCATTTGCAAACAGACTGTTCAATGTAAGCAAACATATCAGATGTATTAACGAATATAAACATCAATAAAAAATTACATTTAAGTAATTTATTAAAGGTACGATACCGAATAATTAAATAATTAAATTTATTTATTTTACGTGGCTCAATATTGATTTTATATAAATATCTTCATTATCGAGAATAGATCTTGATTTGATCTCGGAAACTGGCGTAAGCCATGGAGGTCAGCAGCCCTTATCCTCGGCAGTACACCTTTTCACATATCCGTTGAGACATTGTTACCTAACTATTTGACAAATTTCATAACCGAATGGCAACAGAAAACATATCGAATGACAATCTAAAATAACTGTTTGTTCATGCTAACGGAAATGATTGACATAAGTTATGAAGTTGACAGACGTGAACAATCAACGGACAGTCTACATATAGTTTGAGAATGTAACAATTGGCGAATGACATACCACCAACAGTTATTTTAGATTGTCATTCGATATGTTTTCTGTTGCCATTCGGTTATGAAATTTGTCAAATAGTTAGGTAACAATGTCTCAACGGATATGTGAAAAGGTGTACTTACGTCGCTGCTGCACATGGGAAAACCTCGCTGTTAAGAAAAGTCTATTTAATTCTAAGGCGTCAGGACCAAGTGTCTAGATCTTCATTTATGTGCCGACTGTCTTGAACTATATAACACTAGGGTAGACACTATGATTTCGTCCAAAAATATATTAGAAGTACAGTACATAATACTAATGTAATTCAGTGCATTCCTTAATCCTAAATTAGGTACTATGGTATGAAGTTCTTTGCGAATCCAACAGCTGTAGAATATATATACCAGTAGCCAAAAAGACTTACCTATTTTTTCTTAATCAGGGCTTATTATTTTGTACAAATACTTTTGTTAGCCATCATATTATCGTGTTCTATGTCAAAAGTTTTTCAAAGAAAACGAAACTACAGAGGTATGAGTCAGGGACTGAAGTGACTGTTACACAGAAATATGTGATGAAAATAAAATCTAAATCTAGACAGATAAATCATATACATACATATATATATATATATATATATATATATATATATATATATATATATATATATATATATATATATATATATATATATATATATATACATTATGTTTTTTTAATATATGTATAAATTACACAGATCATAAAGGTTTTTGCTTTATTAAAAAAGTCTTATAATAACTACATAATTATTCAGCAACACACCAAGAATACACATATACTACATAGCTTAGAACTGTAGAGAAAAGGTGATTTTATCCGTTATGTACTTATGATACAGAAGAAAACCCTACACTACACAATACATTGAACAGTACTGAACAAATAACACAAAATACTATACCAACTTTAATACAATTTAGATGTTTAATACAATTTTCAGTGAAGAATGAAACTGAACGATTGCTTTCACGATTCTATATACTTATCTTTAATTTCTAATATATTCAGTGATGCAACTATATTATAGTGATGACTGTATATACACGGTTATGTTTGTTTTTATATTTCCCAGATAATCCATTAAGGAGTAAAGGTGTTTTTTTTAAGTTATGTGAAAGTGAATAAATAAAGTTAACTACTGTATAGTGTTTATGGGCTCCCCAAACTATAGTAATGTTTGAACCTTTGAGTTGACCCTTAAATATATACCAAAATTTGTCCTCTTTAATATCCTTTGGTATTAATTAGTCACTTTGCCATCAGTCTTAATTCGCACTATATTACACTCGCCAAACTCAACTGACAAGCAATGTGTGTGTAAAACCAGTCGACAAATTAGACGGTCTGGATAAACCTCAGCGATAGATATATTATGCATCGGTTTCACTTTTTGTCTGTGTCGGATAGTTTGGAGAATCGAGATCCTCCAGTAGGTAGCTCTCACCAGGATGGGTCTGACTGGTGCTTGGTTCAGCAAACATGAAACTGGCATCGGTCTCGTCAGTTTTCTTCGGTGAGGCGACATATCTGACACCACTCGCTGGCGGCCTGAGGAATAGATAAAACATTTAATTCCTCTTATGTAGGTGGTATAATTGATCCAGAAAACATCTATAATCCATCTTTAAGAGCCATATTACATAGTTATATATGTGTGTGCATGGAGACACACACACACGAACACTAGGCATTCTATAGATTATCCAAGAAGATTTTATCGGCATTTCAGTTCTTATTATAGATCGTAACTTTCACTACCAGCCGCTAGGATCCGCGTGTCTCAACAAGGACCTCTGAATTTCGCTAACTCGTCACTGAAAAAATATAGAAACTTACTCTTCTCCCTTAATGTCTTACCTCACTAATGCTGTCTGATATAGTAGAGTTTCCTTCTAGAATAAAATCATTTTAATCTCCTAAGTATACTGGTTACCGATTAAATTATAAGTCGACAAATATTCATATATCCTAGATGTTCTTTTTCGGTGACGTAAGGAGTTGTGATGGTAGCTGGGAAGATATAGTACAAGTAACAACAAAGAGCTGGAGCATATATTATTAAATCTTTTGGCCACGTTAACAGTCCCATAACAACCAAACCTAACCTAACCTAACCTAACCAGACCTAACCTAAGTGAAAGTGTTTTCTCGCGAAGATTTTCTTTAAGTGTGACTGATTTATCGCAACTAATGGCCAATTCTTCGTCGCCCATATTTAGAATCAAATATATCTTACGATTTCTTCCCAACGATGACGAATATCACGACGCCAGCAAGAGCCAGGGCGATCAAACTCCCTATGACGATCCCGGCGATGGCACCACTACTCAGTCCCGTGTCAGTTCCTGTGTTGATGGAACACCGCGTGCCGTTAAAGTAGGTGTTGCAACTGTGTAAGATATACGTAGGGACAATATTATTATCTGTGTATCATGAAACACCTGATATGAAAACACTGATTATTTTACCACCAAATAAATGAAAATATTAACTTATGTACCATCTAATGCCTTATAAGTTTAAAAAAAGAATATACTGAAACTATTCAACCAGGAACATAACACCTAGTAGAGCAGTACTAACCTGCAGGTAGGTGCTTGTTTCCCTGACACGCTGCACTTTCCGTGTTGACAGTAATAAGACGGACACGTTCCACACAAAGACTCGTCCGCTAGGTACGAGTTGCAGTCGGGGTAGCCATTACACACGGTTTCCACCCTTAGACACGGATGATTCTGCATATACCTGTCCGCACAGTAGACATAACCTGGCTCACATGGAGTACTGGCTGTGGAGGGAGTGAAGCATACAAGATAGAGTACTGGTTGTGGAGGGAGTGAAGCATACAAGATGGAGTACTGGCTGTGGAGGGAGTGAAGCATACAAGATAGAGTACTGGTTGTGGAGGTAGTGAAGCATACAAGATAGAGTACTGGTTGTGGAGGGAGTGAAGCATACAAGATGGAGTACTGGTTGTGGAGGGAGTGAAGCATACAAGATGGAGTACTGGTTGTGGAGGGAGTGAATCATACAAGATAGAGTACTAGTTGTGGAGGGAGTGAAGCATACAAGATGGAGTACTGGCTGTGGAGGGAGTGAAGCATACAAGATAGAGTACTGGTTGTGGAGTGAGTGAATCAGACAAGATGGAGTACTGGTTGTGGAGGGAGTGAATCAGACAAGATAGAGTACTGGCTGTGGAGGGAGTGAATCATACAAGATGGAGTACTGGCTGTGGAGGGAGTGAATCATCAACATACATATGACAACTCGAAATATTATGTAGTGAAATTATATGAATCTTTGTAAGTCAATATGGAAGAGATGGATCCATTTTGTATAATGTTTATGCAAGTTGAAGATATGAACAAGTACAGTACATGTGGATATTTCTACTCGTTGTCTTCGTCCTTTCCAGCTGTCACCTACAACCGTGGTTAATTATTCTCTCCTATTATATCTCCTCCTTTCATTTAACTTTCTGTATCCTACACAACTGTATGAGAATGCAATACAGAATTCAGATTTATGTACCAGGGCATCCTTGTTCATCAGCAGCGTTGGGACAGTCTGTAATACCATCGCATAAGAGCAGACCGGGTATGCAGGTGTAGGAGCCGTCACCACAAGGGAACTGGGTGGGGAGGCAGGCGTGAGGGCCCTTGGTGGTGGTGGTGGTTGGTGTTGTGGTCACCAGGGGACGTGTCGCCATGGATGAACATGTTATTGCTGAAAAAAGGGAAAATAATTCAAGATTCTATCCATAAATTATACAGTTTTAAATACCTCACATTAATTAAAACGCAAACTAATTGACAACTGACTCACAGCAACCCTGTTCGTCTGACCCGTCAACACAATCAGCATAACAGTCACAGAAGAAGGAGGCTGGGATACACTCCTCCGTGTTACACTGCTTCATACCAGGACCACAAGTGTTGTTGATGGGTGGAGGTCCTACACCACTTGGACACTCCTGAAATACACAGTTTATAAGATCCAAGAGTAACCTAACCTAACCCTATCTTCGTCCAATCTTCCACCTGATTACATCCAAGCCGATAAACATTCCCACAGATGAGGTGTTTGAGTCTTGGAGCATATTAGTGAGTTATAGCAGAGGATATTAGGCGGCCGTGACCATACTAAATAAAGATGAACAGCGAGGAACATGGAGGTATAAGGACGCAAGAGTCTAATTTATGCATCATCTAGACAAACAGAATGAATACGAGATACGAGAAGCTTATTGAAGTCTTAACAATTCCCTTTCACTCAACATGGCTAGATCTAAACATACGTTAATAAGTTATAGTCCCAGCGTTATATTTTTGGCTATTTTTTTTTACCTTGTTTTGCAGCTAGTTTACGTTAACCAATTACATGCAGTTTAATATCTTACAGCTCAGAGAAGTATAGTTATCATACGAACCTTGAAGAACCTCGACCAAGAGTCTTACCGGTGTGAAGGAGACGTCATCTAGAGCGACGTAGGTGTTGCGCGGATCGCCAGTCTCACCCTCGAACACAAACTGGAATGGTTTACTAGAGGACACGAGCTTTACCTCTTCTTGCCACAGCGCCTCGTAGTTACCAATTCGGACCACCAGAGGCCACCGCTTGCCAGTACTATCTGTTGTGGATATAACTTACTATATCACGTATTATTGTTATATCATCTGATTAACTAATACACACATGAATTAATTATAGTAATCAAAATACAGAGTGGGGATCTTTCTTAATTCTTATGTTGATTAGTGTTTTGGTGAAGTTCTTACATAAATAAAGTAAACAGCAACAGTGGTAATCTCTAAAAACAATATAAAGCGAATGAACAAGTTATCACGTCTATTGAATAAGTTATAATAAAGTTCTCATTTGCCACCCACTGTAACTTAAGCACAATGTATAGTCTTTCTCCTGACTCAAAACACCTCGCAGAATCTGAACACAGCATTTTGAAACATCCTCATGAGCTCAGACATCACAAAACTTAAGAGAAGGAGCACAGAAAACACCTAATACTCATGAGGTGGCAGGAGGGATCAGTGAGCACCAAGAAAAGATACAGTTGTGTGTTATGCAAGATGAATGTAATGGTAGTAAATTTTCAACCACGGAGAACACGATGCTGTACCTGTCGAATGAGTAGAACACCACCAAAACCCACAGTCTCTTACCCATGCGGAGACAGTGATAACCTAAACTTACTTATATACCTGACCATACCACAAATACTGAGGAGAATGTAAAATAGTGCTTCTGAGGCTTGCAATAATGGTAATGGATCCAGAATCGCCAAAATATTCGGAATCATCACAACTACTTCAGATTTATCAGCCTAGTTCAGCAGTTATTTCAGGACTGCTGTGTGTGAAAATAGAACTAATTCGGATTTTGTTATTTATATAGACGACTCTGATTACTTTACGAACCTTTCCGATACAATCTGGTAAGGGCTGTTGAAATCCGTATGGTTGTAACTTAGAGCCAATCAGATTAGGGTGAAAAAGGGTGATGTTTTTGAAGAGAGTCAGAGTTGTATATTAAAGTAATGGGAAGTGACGATGATTGTTGGATGCATATACCTTCAAGATAAAGCCTGAGAGAGCCGGGGTTGGCGGTCCTGTTGTCGTTGTGTAGGTAATACCAGAAGCGGATGTAACAGATGTCAGTGGACGCTGGATACTGTGTCCCTGTCTTAATGGCTGCTACTTTACCAGGATCATCTGAGTCACTGGCCACATACAGGTAGTAACCTTTGAAAGACGAGGGAGTTATTAGAAAGTCTCTGCACTTGAACATGTAAGGCTTTTCAGTTCGTACACTAAGTAGGTTCATACACTTCCTTTTACAAACTAAGGAAGGTGATTCTTCTTGTTATAAAACATGAACAAAAGTTTAGGGTCCAAAAAATAAACGACTATACTGTACTGTACATCAATCTACGTCTTTCCCAAACAGTGTGTATGTGATACAGTGTAAAAGATTATAACCTAACCTAACCTACGTTTATGATCTTGTATCAGTCTGAAGAATGTTAAACATTCTTACCAGAAGAGCCGAGTGTGTGGTCATGTGAGGGACCGTAGTGAGAGTTAAAGGAACGTCTGCCTCGGGACCAGTCCTTGTCATCGTCATCACAGCGCTGCCACCCACAGGCCGTCAGCCAGTTCTCGTGGTCAAAGTTACAGTCACCCTTGAGAAATATAAAGTTGCTCCTACAGATGTGTGTCATGATAAAAAAAAGGTGAACAAAGCTTACAGTAGTTATAAGAAATAGATAAAATAATACTCGAGATAAATCATGTAATTTTTTCTTCTAAAATATAGTATTTAGGATCAGGTAAATTAAAAACTTTGTGGAGTTATAAATAATTTGGGCTATATATATATATATATATATATATATATATATATATATATATATATATATATATATATATATATATATATATATATATATATATATATATATATATATGTATACTGACATTAATCGAGACTAAATATAGTAATTACCTGGACATTGTCACACTGGAATTCATCACTCTTGTCTGGACAGTCATACTTGGCATCACAGCGGTACTGGCGGGGGATACAGGAGGCGTCAGCACACGTGAAGTCCGTCGTGCTGGTACATTCATCAGACGGCTCACAGTTCTTGAATGCTAAGTCATCAATTGCAATATAGGTCTGGAAATGATAAAATTATTCCAACATTAGGATGTAAGTCAGTAGCGTATTATATATAGGTCAAAAACTTATCTCTGCTTCAAGACGGATAAATGTTAGTTAATAAAATGGAAATTTGTAGCGTCTCCTCACAAGGCATATACTGTACTCAAGGATCAATAAGAGTCGACTGTCAAGGCAACAACACAAAAAACCTGACATATAATAATCTAACTCACGAAAATCTATTACATTTTTACCAAACACAATTATTCTGGCAGTATAAAATGAAATACAGTTAATACGAAGTAACATACCTTTTGGTCGCCGTGAGTAGCCTTGAAAAATAATGAAAAGTCTCTTACATCGCTGACCATAACATATTCCTTATCCCACACTTTGGAGTTTTCCGACTGTTCCCAGAGTAACTCAGCGTAGATACCCTCCACCTGTGTAAGAGAGGTATAACGCTAAACTCTTCACCTTACACATTTTATTTTATTTATCACTGTGAAATGAGAAAAAGAAACATGTGATTAGCAGAGAAAAAACACAGACCACAGTGGGAAGAAGCTTGTACGCCGAAGAAATAAAGCACATGTACTTACAGAATCAAATGCAGTCCTCGTAGTTTTCCTGTAGAGAGAGAGAGTAGACGGCTGATCACCATCTGTACCCAGGTAATGGTAGAACGACACGATGCAGTTGTGTCCTACCATTGAAAATACATGCGACTCTAAAATTGCCACCTGCCCTGAGAGGCTCTGTGGGGGGGGGGAGGGAACCTGTCATTACTGTTTTGTAGGTTAGTGCAGTGATGAACAATTTATTATGAACCAAAAACAAGGTACAATGACTGAGAACGTAACTTTATGGTATCATGTCTGTATTTTGTAAGTCACTGATTAATAGATTCATGATAGATAAAGAGGTTTTCACTGAAGATAAAGAAAGACAATGTTTAAAATATATGCTTTTAGTTTTGGTATATCATAGTTTTATACAACCTTTTCTTTATTTTTTTTCATATTTTAATAAAGTGGCTGCCCTTTACTTTAACCCCCCATAAGTTATCAGAGAAAATTACAGTTATCACTCCTCTCGCTTCATTGCACAAATATATCTTATGTCAAACTTCTTTCCTTATACATAATCGTAATATTGCTACTCATTAACCGTCATTGGAGTATGTTAATAATCTAAAGTCAAAACAGCAATTCAGTATTATCTTTTTCTATAAATATGTAATGTATGAAATATCGTGTTATCAGTTGCCACACATACCAGTCAAGTTCTTTATCCAATTAATGAAAAGTACGAACAGTTTATTTGAGAAAAATAATATGGGACTTGAGTTGATTTAGATATTGAAATAAGTCAGTGAGTGAGAAGGAGCGTTCATTGGGTTGACTCAGTTGACTCATACAGGTAAAATACTGAAAATATACCAGTTACCTGATTCTTGGAGGAGCTGAGATCATGTGTAGTGGTCACTCCAGTGTAGTCAGCCGCTGGACCTGGTGGATCAGCTGGGAAACCTGTCCTGGTCCAGTGACTCGAGTCGGCACTTTGTTCAAACCACCCACACAGGTCCGTCTCGAAATCACAACTTTTACCTGAAGATATCGAGGTCAATGTTAGAACTTTCTCAAATAAAGTACAATATATCCACCTTCAGAAAACTACTACAACTCTCACCTGACGAATATGAAGCCAAGGTGAGAGAGTTTCTGGTTATGTCTGATCTGTGTGCTGGTGTTTAGCAATATCTTAAAGTGGTCTTACATTATATCGTTTGGAAGTTCCGTGTATATATATAATTTTTTCTTATCCTTTTTCAGTCTTGTAAGTTCTGTATCGTAATGTCTTAAGACGGCCAGTTTAAACCCAGATCAAAGAACAAAAATAATTATCATAACAATAATTGCAGTGTTTACTGAAAAGGATGTCAATAATTATCATCATTATATTACTTTAAGTTTCTGCTTTTCATTATGGGTTTGGCTTCATGTTTAATGTTAAAGTTATTTTGAATAAGTTCGGCTGTAGCTTAACACTCACTACACTCCTGTTCATCGGTGCCGTCGCCGCAGTCGTCCACGAAGTTACAAGTTTCAATCGGACTGTAACATTTCCCGTTTGCGCAGTCCAGTTTCCCAAGCGGGCAGAAAGGCTTCGGGGTGGTAAGATCATCTTCTCCAGGAAGGTGTTGATTAGAAGAACGTTCACACTCTGGCGACATGGACAAGTCATCCAGAATCAAGAAGCCATTCCGGTCCGCGGGAGAGGCGCCCTCCAGCACCACCTGTGATAACAGATGATTAATTCTTCTCAGTTCGAGTGTTCACAGACTACACACTGAAGAGTTGAAGGGCAAAATGATACTGATTTTTCAAATCCTATGTGTGTACTGATTTCAGGCTAGTTTGTTGGGCACTCATCTGCAACTTACGCAAAGTTAAGTGCAGAACAATAATGACGACCAGAAGGAAAGCACAAATTCATGATTGGCTTATTAGACTAAGGTCGAGAATACCTGAAGGGCCATTGACCTCAGTGCCATGTTAGAGTGAACGATAAAGGGGTATTCTATGAAATAAAACCCCGTACACTTTCATCTGGTGACAGTAATGTCCACAGGACGGGAACTGTAATATTTTAACTATTCTAGACAAAGTGGGAGCAGGTCCCAAGTGATATCAAGTGCCAGGTCTGTTAGAGATGTGACATTTGGAGTGGGAAGGAGATGACGTGATGATGGTGGCAGAGATCTGTAAGAGGATGTGTCGACATATTCAGGGATACAATGGGGAAGGTTGTGAGAGCTAGGCCACTAACTCTTCACCCTCTTCATACCACTTTGGATTCCCTAAAATGACCATGACGAAATCTACACTAAGTGTCATACTGTATGTCTGTCGTTTCCCACCTGTATAAGTGTCACTCACCTGGAAATCCCCAGAATAAGGATCCCCGCCGTAAGTCAGACTGAACTTGAGCCAGACATTCTTGGCCATATTGGAGATAGTGGAGAGAACATTGGTGCCATTCTCGTAATAGGAGATACGTCTGGTGGTGTAAAGAGAAAGAGGACAATACGTCCCTATTATTTCATGATTCCTATAACCACTTTCTACCAACTAAAACTTATTACCTGAAGCTTAGACACCCATGTTTATTTTATATGAAGTGCAATCACTCTAATATTACTTGGTGGTGGGAGTTAGGTTAGGTGTGAGTTACTGACTTTAGGACCCTGATGTGGCCCGGGTTGTCTCCGGTGGCCTGGTACCAAAACCTTATCTGGCATTCGTAGACAGTGCTGACGATGACGGGGGAGTGGAGACGGGCCACACGGGAGGTCTTGCTCTGATCCATCACGTTCAGCACCACATAGTGACCTGTTGAGGGAATAAACTCACTGTGAAACACTGCCGGCCACTGGTAAACTAAAATGTCACCAACCCTTTACTCCAGTGAGACCTTCCTAACCTAATCTCCTCTGGTCCAGTTTACTCACCCTTAGTAGTGCCCAGTGTGTGGTCATGGACGGGTAAAGTGCCAGAATTATCGGAAGACGCCCGCATCACCAACCAGTCAGCGTTGTCCTCGATATCTTCCGTCCAGTCACTCGTTATCCCAAACTCAAAGTCACAGCGGTAGAGGAAGGAGCCACACACCTCAGGGGCCTCGTCCGAGTTATCGAGGCAGTCATCCGAGTAGTCACACACGAGACCCAACACGACGCAGGTGCCATCGCTGCACGGGTAATAGTTCATATCCTTGCAGGTCATTCCTTGAAAGAAAAATGTGTACATTTAGATTGAGAGAATCTGTGAAATGGGTGTGATGCAATATTTCATGACAAAATTAAGGCACTGTAGTTACAAAACTAATAACACACTTAACAAATGTACAGTGAACACAACCAGAAGGCTGCTCATAGATACACATGCACTCACTCACACGCTTACACATACACACACGTACAATCAAAGACAAAAGTCGTGTCGCGGTTTTGTCCGAAGATTAATATAACTCTTGAAACATTATATATGAGCCCCCTACCACAAGGCAGAGCGCACCAAAAGTTTTAGCCCTTCGGCATATGTTTTCACCAAATTTCACGACACGACTTTTGTCTTTCATTGTATACACACTATTTAACAACTTATCAGGTAATCCCATATCGACCCCTATACGCCATCACCTACAAAATAATGTTAATCTTAGTTTTTTCTAATATCCTCCGGCGATCTCTTCCCCGCTTCAGTAGTCGTTAACAAGAACTATGAGCAACGTAGATACTGATGTGGTCTATAACAGGTGAACTCTACTATGATCGTCCCCTTTATAATAAGACCTCGGGGTCCTTCTTGTTCGCCACCTTTCATCAGCCACCTCACACCTGATGTATACATTCTTTTCTCAAAAATTTCCTTCCCATTCTCTCATTATGTCCATACCACCCTAGACAACCCTAGTGAGCTCTCTGTTTGATACATTGCAATCCTGAAGTTGTGTGTTACCATCTGGGGGAGGACTGGGAGGGACACACTCCTCAAAGGCGATGTCATCTACCGCACCACCACCCTCGTAGCTGATGCCTCGGTGTGCCTGGATCCTCACCTTCTGCACGTTCAGCTCACCTAAGCCAACCTGCACCTGAAAGCAGATCACATACCTTAGGATCACAAGCAGCAAACGTAAGTGATGAGGCAGAATTTAAAATGGTTAGGTTAGGTTAAGTTAGATCTTACTATTTGCCTTTAACATGTCCCCAACTACTCCTGATCTTACATGACCATCATACAATTAACCACCAATGTAACAACTGTAAGATGGAGGGAATGAGGCTAAATTTTCAACGTTTATTATTCTTACAACTTATTACAGATAAGACAGAAGAATTGGTGGAAGAATCTTACCATCTGCCACTGGTTGCCATTGTCACCATCCAACAACCACGCCTCCACACTGTCCCCGGTAAAGGGTGTGACCAGCACGTGAAGTGACCCTGACTGGGGACCTGACCACCAGTACCAGATACCCAGGCGACAGGTCTTGGCGGTCTCACCTAAGATCAAAATAGACATCCATAGTTCTTAACACATTCTTGGTAAATACTGACACATAATTTGTACCGTATACCTAATCTAGAGGTTGTGGCTGTGTGGTAGGTCATGCATGGACATATTTGACTGCACACACGAATCAACCAGACTTAACAACCGTAGTCCCACTTGACCTAACCTGCACACACGGATCAACCAGACTTAACAACCGTAGTCCCACTTGACCTAACCTGCACACACGGATCAACCAGACTTAACAACCGTAGTCCCACTTGACCTAACTGCTCAACCAGACTTAACACACGGCATCAACCAGACTTAACAACCGTAGTCCCACTTGACCTACTTGTCCCAACAACCACAACCTGCACACGAATCTTAACAACCGTAGTCCCACCTTGACTTAACAACCGTAGTCACACTTGACCAACCAACTTGCACACACGGATCAACCAGACTTAACAACCGTAGTCCCACTTGACCTAACCTGCACACACGATCAACCAGACTTAACAACCGTAGTCCCACTTGACCTAGTCAACCAGACTTAACAACCGTAGTCCCACTTGACCTAACCTGCACACACGGATCAACCAGACTTAACAACCGTAGTCCCACTTGACCTAACCTAACACGCCTAAGTTTAGATTCTAGTTGATGTTATACACTGCGGTTCACTACACAAGCGTACTATAAACACGTTAGTCTAATAAGTATATACGGTCTATGACACAGTCGGCTATCTAGCAATAATTAATAAGAAAAATATATGAGGTGTATAATTCCAAACTTTTTCTAACCCTTTCTCATAACCCAAAATACATGAATTAATAAAAGAACAAATAAATAAATAATCAGATTAAGCCCATTATCCTCATTATCCTCATTATCCTCATTATCATCATCATTATCCTCATTATCCTCATTATCATCATTATCATCATTATCCTCATTATCCTCATTATCATCATTATCATCATTATCCTCATTATCATCATTATCATCATTATCATCGTTGTATCATACCGATGAAATATTCGGTGGCGAGGTCGGTAACGTCATCATAGTCATCTTCCACAGACCACACATAAGCGTAGTAACTCCTGACGTCATGAAAGGTGTGGTCGACACCTGGCTTATACTGCTGCAGGGGAGGAGCCACTTGATCATTACCTGTCGACAGCTCCCACCTGCAGAAGAGTAATACAGAGATCCAACCATGCAAATCAACCCAAGCAATTGAAAATGACAGTGGGATAGGCATGGCAATATAGCTACAGCACACGATATTAAGCCTTCGGAGCACTAGGAGACACCATGGACGGCACTGTACTTCATCGCCATCCACAATCCCAAAGGTTAGAGTTGAGGATAATTAAACGTGGAGCTTCTTGTAATCTATATTTATACTCAGTTAACTATTTCCTCACCCACACCCTTCCTCTGTACTCATTCACTCACTCATTTCCTCACCCACACCCCTCCTGTCCTCACTCACTCACTCACATCCACATACCATCTTTCCTCACCCACACCCCTCCTCTGTACTCACTCATCCACATACCATCTTTCCTCACTCACCTACACCCCTCCTCTGTACTCACTCACACCCCTCCTCTGTACTCACTCACCCACACCCCTCCTCTGTACTCACTCACTCACACCCCTCCTCTGTACTCACTCACCCACACCCCTCCTCTGTACTCACGTGAACAGGACACCACTCTTGCCCTCAGACTCCACATCATCCTCGGGGTCATCATCTGGACTTCCTATCCCTGACAACTTGGTGTGATTGGTGGCCTTCATCTCCCAGCCACACTGATCACCATTAAGAAACGGGCATATTGTTGACACTGCCGGAATAGAAGACATATTGTTGTAATTATTCAGGGAGAAGAAGACATATTGTAGTAACTATAATTCAAATGATTTCATAATACAGAATTTGTACAGATGTTTTATATTTCAAATGACATCATAATATTTGTACACAATTTAATCTATTTTAAATGACGTTATACTATTTGTACACTAACGAAAACTACTCACCACAACCATCTTCGTCATTCGCACAGTCAAACACAAAGTTACAGTGTTTTCTGATTGGTATACAGGGGCCGTCACTACACTTGAACTCATCATTGGTGCAGTTTTCAGGGTGGACTGTTGAGTGTGGTGTGGAGGTGGTAGTCACGCCAGCCAACCTTCAGGAAATAACGTGATCAGTATAATGTCAATGTTGAAATCGTGAACTTAAAGTAAACACAAACTCAGCTGCGGTGGAGGAGATATACAATGTACAAATAATTCCTAAGTAATTACGTGTATATACAGTACCTCACACTATTACAATGGGCAAAAATATCAATGGTATTAGGTGAACTCAGGTGAACTCAAGTACTACAAACAGTGGTAAACAGTAAGCTTATTCGACCAAGGATGACCCCAATAAAGTCACCATATTCTTATATCAAACAAGCTTACATACACCCATAATGACCAACAAGACCAACCAGCATTTAGGATCAAACACGAAGTCGTCAAGAGCGATGGTTCCTTGATGGTTGACAGCGGACCTGACCTCGATAATGATCTGGAAACTTCCCTCACCAAGCGGCCCTAGATAGGTTAGTTGCACCTTGTCCCACAAACTGAGAGAGTCGTCGGCAGGTGATTCCATACTGAACACCGTCTTTGTTGACCCCGATTCTTGCCTGCAATCAATATGGAAATTAATACACACGCGACTGGGAGGATAATACTATTCCTACCTCAGTTTAGTATCAATACAACTCTCCATCTACCAGTTCAATTTGTATTTATCTCTGTTAATAATAAACTGGCTATCAGTCTTAACCCAATTTTTTACAGTGACAAGTATTGTTATTTTATATTTATGCAATTCATACTTTTAGAGAGCAGATCTTCGTTGTAAGTAATAACTGATATCCTCATAGCATAATTCAGAGTGAGGAAATAGTCAAATAATCAGAAAATAACTTTAAAAATATATCAGTAAAAATTAAGAATGTACAGTAGAAAGCAATGATCAATACGAATATTACCATGTCAATATTGTTATTATTATCCACTCTGTATCTGTATTTTTCTGGTTAAATAAACTGTTTCAATATCAATAATAAGATATAAACAAGCGTGGCCAAGTTGTGTTAGTGTAGGACTCATTATGTATCTGGCATTGGGCTAATCAACAAATCCATAAATGAAATATAAACGTTTAACAATATTAAAACTGCGGATATAAATTACCGAACTGAGACGGTCAGATTTCCAAACCCAGGGCCGTAGAAGTAGTGGTAGAAGAGAAAGGTACAGTTGGAGCCACTATATAACTTTAGACTGAGGAGCTGGGCAGTCTGGGCCTGTTGGTCGGGGACATCCATGTACAGATAGATGCCCTCAGGAGACCACTCGGTATGGTCGTAGTTGGGGCCTTTGTCTGTGGGAGAGAGGGTGACGTCATTACCATAATACACTCTACAGACAGATGTTATGGTCTTATAGGTGTTGTCATGAGAGGGGTTTACTGGGCACTGTCCCCGTACTAGAAGTTATAATGCTATGACTAATAAACTTTGTACAGAAACAGTCTAATTGAGAATTATACTTTCACAAGAGATGGAAAGTTGTTTGTTGTAGGGAAAAAAGCGTCGATATCTATTACGTAGACTTAACAATTTTCACCCTCTCTAGTTGTTTGCTAGTGAAAATAAATAGAAATTTGAGCTTAACATAATTTTCAATCCGTTTGTTGCTAAGCGGTTATCGCCTAAGTCCGAGCCCTAAGAAGGTATTGCTTCATCTGAATTGCTATAAGGCGAAAAAAACCGCATCTGTTTGTAAGATCGACAAATTACCATAAGAAACTTCTCTTCCCGATGCCAGAATCCAATCAGTGTCATCATCAACACCATTCTGGCCTTGAACGAACCAGCCAAGCATCCCATCCTCGAAGGTGCTACGGTGGTACTCGGAACACTCTCTGGGGGTCTCGTCCTCACCGTAACCACAGTCATCAGCCAGGTCACACATATTTTCTTTGGGTATACAAATCTGAAGAGAACAGAAATAATATCATTCTTAATTCCCGAAAGTTGGGGTCTACTGAGGGAGTGAACGGCTCTTAGCGCGCACAGCTGTCGTAGGAACTATATAGACTGACATAACAAAACTAAGGTGAGGGTATAGGTCCACACATGATGAGATGTGGGGCACTGATGATGTAGGAGAGTGGTGAGCATTCTGTATGAGGGAGGACACTCTTCTCTGTCTGAGGGAGGGGGGGGGGGCACTCTTCTATGTCTGCGGGAGGGGGGGGGGCCACTCTTCTATGTCTGAAATGTCTTAGCATTTCAGTAATATTTTTAGGGTAAGAAACTTTACGGTGAGTAAAAGACTAAAAATAACCTACATGAGATGAAGAACCTCATTCCCAGGTCTCAGTTGTCGTCAGGTGGAAATGTTTGGAGGACAAGGTGTTTCTCTACCGACTAACCACGCTGCCAGATGATCCACAACATTTTGTTAATATATACATGAGTAAGTTTTCTTATTGGAGTTAACAAGAGAGAAGTCATGTGCATCTAACCTGTGATAAGGCACAGTGGTAGAAGGAGGGCGCACAGTTTCCTTCTACAGGTGGTGGGTAGCCGCAGTCTTCAAACTTGGTCTCATCGATGGCAAACACTCCAGTTTCACCTTCCTTCTCCAGTAAGTACAGCGACAACTGGAAAGCTGTTATGTGTCTGCCGATGTTTATATCTTGAAATGTCCAAATATGTGACGTCGCGGCCTTCCTGCTGAAATACTTGATGGTGGTGTACCTATCGCTGGTTGAATTAAGGCGCAGCAACACGTCACCTCCGAGGTCTTCATCCCTGTAGTACCAGAATGAGTAGGAACAATCTGGTTTGGAGTTTTGGTACCAGTGAGTAAAGGCCTGTGCTTCCTGTAGCAGAGGTATGTCAGGGTAGTCTTGGTGTAGCAGGAGGAAGTGTCCCTTATCGTTACCAGTTTGATCGGTAAATGGTCCAGTTACATCCGTGCCAGAGTTGGTATCATTAGCCTGGGCTCGAATCCACTTTACTGCATTAGTCTCGTCAACATCTTGCCAGCCACACGTGTCATTTTCAAAATGGCAGACGGCGGGACAGTTATCCTCATCACTATAGTCATTACAGTCATTGCGGAAGTCGCACACCTTTGTATTTGAGATACAACCTTCCAGGGGACAAAAGAACTCATAGTCGGAACACATAGTGGTCCTGCATTTTGTTGAATAGGATATGTCATCAATAGCAATGTCTCCGTCATCTACCGCGCCAGCCCAACCTTCAATCAATATTTGGAAATATCTTGAATATGTAATAGGCAAATCTTCTCGAACCCAAAGATAATCGTCTGTGCCGGTAGTCTGGAAGATTATATCAGTCCTTCTTACTTTTGGATTTGTTTCCACGACAGAAACTCTCAGTGAGGAGTTCAGGTGATTCCTCATCATGAACCAAAACCTGAAGTGACAGTCGCCTGTTGATGGGAGGAAAGGTGGTCCGGATATTTTGGCATTCTGGCCTTGTGAACCTTTGATACTACGCAGGTACAGGTAGAAGCCCGTCTCGTTGCCGTAAGTATGGTCATAATCTGGACCTACATCCTCATCAAGCATCTCACCATTCTTACGCATCCAGTCCAGTTCATCATCGTCGGTGTGTTGCTGCCAGTGACAAAAGTCGGCCTCAAAGTTACATCGTTCAGGAAACTGTTCACAGGTGTCTGGATATTCATCTGTATTGTCGCCACAGTCATTACTGAAGTCACATACCTGACTATCGTTAACACAAACACCATTACCGCAAGTGAACTGGTCATCCGGACACACATGTGGCACAGGAAGAGCACAATTGTGGAAATGAACCTCATCAATTATAACATGTCCATCATCGTCAAAATTCTGAACTCTGAACCTTAACTTCCAGCCAAAATCCCGTGCTAGAATTCCCACTGTCTGGTTCTGCCACACCTCACCGAAGTCATTATAGACCAGCCACAATGTAAGTTCCATGTTATTTGTAAGAAGATTAAGCTCAAGAGTCGAATCTTTCCCACCTTTCATGAAATAAAAACTCATTGTACATGATGTAGCAGAAGCTCCCAGTTTATAAGACACAAGGTCTCCTTTAGTGTCAGTGCCCGCACCCAGGGCAAATACCTTCATCACATAACTATCACGGCCATACGGGGAGCCACTTGCCCGCATCCAGCGACTTGATCCATAACTCTGGTCTGCCCAGCCACACTGGTTAACGTCAAAGCTACACTCAGCACAGATAATTTCGTCGCTGTTATCACCGCAGTCATCCTTAAAATCACAAACCTCAGTGTTTGGGATGCACTTGCCATTTAAACACGGATACTGATTGTGACAATCATTTTCAGTGGTGGTAGTACTGGGGATTGTTACAGTGGGTAATGTGTCATTAGAGGGTGTACAATCCTTAGTGAAGGAAATATCATCAATTGCAATTACTGAAGGCAGTCCACCTGTGTAATTTAAGGTAGAGCCAGTTAGAACAAACTCCAACAGCTTAGAAATATCTTCACTTGGCGGCATAATTTCTATACGATCCCAGTATTGTCCGATGGAGCCAGATACCACCTTTATATCTTTCTGCAAGCCATTAGAGGAGTCCCTAACTGACACCACCAACTGGTTCACCTCAGGTCCGTAACTATAATAATAAAACCTTAAAAGACACAGTACTGAGGGACTAAAAATCACAGGACTGGTTACTATGCCTTGAGTAGCGGCGCTCTGTTTATCGTTACTCTCAATGTACATGAAGGAGCCGTCAGCAGTGTTCCGGGTGTGGTCACGTAACGGGATGATATCTTGGGTGCTTGGTGACCCGATCTGCCAACTGCTATCTTTATCTATTACCCAATCACAACTTGAACTATCCTCAAAGTTACAACGGCCAACATATTTATCACAACCTGCTAGAGTGTCGTCCTCATCCGAGTAATCTCCGCAGTCGTCAACAAAGTCACACTCCTCGAACATTGAGACACAAGCAAGATTTGTACAAAAGAAATCTCGACATATATCATGTTGTGGTGACGGAAGGAAACATTTCTCGAAACTGAGGTCATCAATCGCCATGTAGCCGTCCACATCGAAGTTTTTCTCGCCTTCAAACTGGACTGTAAACTCACTACGTATCCTACCTATATACGCCATACCATACATCCACTCCTCCCTGTGGTTAGAATATATCTCTAGTAAGGTAGTGGTTATGTCACTCACATTGTAAGAAACTTTAAGGGTTCCCACATCCTCAGTAGGTTTGTCACCAAGTATCTCATACATCACGTACCAGAACAACATGCGACACTCGGCAGCTGAGTTGTAGAGGCCTGGGCTCATAAAGATGGGATTGTTTACGTCTCTGTTATTAAGAATCCTTGGGGCGACTGCCACATAGTGTCCAGCACCAGTCTGTAGTGTGTGGTCTACAGGAGGACCATATGTGTTATTGGTGTCCTGGCCCTGAAGATATGCCCAAGACAACTCTCCCCCCACCTCCACGTTCCTCCAGGTACAGTGTTCTCCCACACCAGCTTCAAAGGTGCAGTTATACCCACAGAAATTCTCATCTTGTCCTTGGCTACAATCTTGAACAAAATTGCACATTTGATCTGGTTTTATACACTTGTCTGCATCACATATAATGGTACAGTCTGGGATTGTTCCATTGGTACAATTGTTAGCAGATATTACCACTTTATCTAAGGCAATAATACCTTGTTGTCCATGATCAGACACCGCAATAAAGTCTAAGACAGTGGCGTAGAGAGTTATATTAGCTGTCACTTGAACGAACTCCCAGTCAGCGTGAACAATAGTGTTATGTTCCCACAGCACCGCTCTCGCGTTATATTCATCATTATCCATCCCCAAGGATAGACTGGAATGGCCTAAGCCTTGAAGATGATACCAGAAGCTCACGCACCACACACCTGGCTCTAACATATCTGTTTTCAGAGACGCATAACTATCAAAGGCCTCACCAGATGTATCAAAGTAGATAAATCCTCCATATTGAGAAAGCGATGTGACGTCTACTTTTGGACCATACGGATTAGACAATTGGTCAGCTGTCATCAGAGACCAGTCAGTGTTAAGTCCATCCTCGGCATTCCTCCACATACACAAGTCTGTCTCAAAGTTACACTCCAACATGTCCTCACAGCTCACTAGCGGCTGGACATCATCAATGCCAATAATTGTATCATTGAACGACTGACCTTTAAAACCAAGTGAATAATAAGATGTACTGTCAGTGCGCAGTCTGAACAAATTCCACTCCCTACTGAAGATGCCAGTAATTTTAACCAAGAGTTCATCATCTGTTGCCTCGTCTATGTGCTTGTACACTTCAAGTACTGCTTCTTCATTATTATAAAAGCTATCCGAAAAAATCCAAAACTGAGCACATTTAAACTGGGGATGAATTGTATCCGAGTACATAAGAGCAGATCCCACTCCCGTCAGCCTGAAGTAATGACCAAGTGACGTCTGTCGGGAGTGATCTTCTGATGGGCTCCTGATGCGCCCTTCTGATGGTGTAGCAGACACCCTCTCCCAGTCAAGAGGATCTTCAACCGACTGTCTAAAGTTACATGTTCCTTTTTCAAAGTCACAGAGTTGGCCAGTAAAGCAGCTCATAAAATCAACTGTAATATCATCTACAGCAATATCTCCCTTCCCTTTCATCCACGGAGACGCTTTTAGTATTATGTCAAACCGGGCATCTACATAATCAAGGAAAACTTTGGCCGGTAACCAGTCAATTCCTTGCTCACGTGAACGTTTCCAGACCGACGTACTGTTAGAGCCTTCCGACTGTAGCAGTACTTCCAAATTACCAATGTTAGGTCCGTGCATGTGATACCAGAAAGAGAAACATGCTCCACTGCGTCCAATGTCCACAGGATTGCTAACTAATCTGGCAACATTATCTTTTCCGTATGAAGTGCCAACGTAGATGTAATGTCCCTTATCTGTCTTCAGCGTGTGGTCTGTGTTTGGTCCTGTGTCCTCTGTTGGCGTCGGTCCCTGATGACGCTGCCAGTCGAGGCTATCCATAGTATCTTGAGTCCATCCACACAGTTCATTTGAATCTTCTTCAAAGTTACAGTCATAAAAGGAAGGTGTATGGGTGGGCAGAGGGGTGGTCACAAACGGAGGCAATGTGGAAATTTCACAGTCACTTGTGAAAGCAATGTCATCTAAGGCCACAGGGTCTATGTCTGATGCTGTTATGTTTTCATCAACAAAAATGTCGAATATTATTTGAAAGGTGTTAGACGTTATTATAGGGGTTAATTTTACTTCTTCCCAAATAAAATCCAAAGTCGAGTTGTGGAGACTTATGAGCGGAGAGTCAATGCCCTTGACTCTTAAGACAACAGATAACGTGGAATTGACTATATTTTGCATTGAATACCAAAATGTGATACAATTGAGGTTGTGAGGTACACGACTCGAATACAGTTTAGCAGCATCACGCTTTGTTTTGTCCTTCAGATGAGCCACCATATAGTGACCTGTCTCAAAGTTTATAGTGTGATCTACTATGATACCTCCACCGTCCACTCCTGAAGCTCTCTCCCAGTCAAACGTGTCGTCCCCGCCATTTATGTTGAACCAGTCACAGAGGTCACACTCGAAGTCACATTCGTGGGCTCTTGGGCAGGAATCAGGAATGAATTCTAAGTCATCAATTGCAATAAGACCAGCATCGCTAAGCCCTGTCACCCCCATAATACCTACAGAAAGCTTGCGAGTATTTGGAAGAGTTACCATCCCGAGGGACCACATCTCATACGTACTGTTTGTCCATGTCTCAATGGGGGTAAAGTCTGAACTATTATCTTCCTTCACGAAGATTATTAGTTGGCCAAGACCTTGTTCTGGCATGTGGTACCAAATCCGGAAACACTGAGTGCCAATACTCTCATAAACAGGAGATGTAAGGAGTGCAAAGTCATCAGAGGAGCCTGTTGGCGCGAGGTAGGCGTAGTAACCCATCTCACTGTTTGCTGTGTGATCCACCGGGGGAGTGAGAGGGATCTTGTCTTTACCGTTGGCTCGTGTCCATTTTGTAGTTTCTGTTGTCCCTTGAGACCACTGACAGAAATCAACTTCAAAGTCACATTTTGATGACTGAAGTTTCTGGGTCATCTTGATGTCATCCACAGCGAGTAATCCTGGTCCAATCTCCCTCCACTCAGCCTCTAGCATCATCATGAAGTCGTCATCACCATCAAGTCTTGCCTCGAACAACATCCACCGATCATCCTGAGAATCTTTCAGCTCAAGATACGTGTTATTCACCCCGGCAGCCATCTTTTTCTGAATAAGTCTGAAGACTCCAACGTTTTCCCCAAAGAAATAATACCAGAGTGAAAAGACGTTGTCGAAGGTCGTTGTTTTGGACTGAACAGTGCTCTCTAGTATGGCCTTATCGCCTGTTTCAGCCATTTCATCACTGAAATCTGCATAAACATAGAATGTTTTTCCTGTGGTATGGTCGTGAAGATCTTCTGGATACATATCACTCTTCTTCCAATCGAGTTGGTCATTAATTGATTGCCTCCACATACAGTATCCACCATCGTAGTTAGGATCATCAAAGTTACAATCCAATCCACCAACATCAAAATTGCAATTTAATAATTCAATATCATCAACAGCAAACATAGTATGAGACTTCGCCCATTCAACATTGTCATCAAATACTGGTGTAGCTTCTAAAGAAAACAGATAATTGGCCAGTGGTTTGTGTACCGGGATGATCATTTCATTCCACCATTCTGGGTGTGGAAATTGTGTGGAAAAATTAGAGAGTAAGACAGTATCACCATGATCTTCATCTTTAAAATATAAAAGAGCGTGTACGTTACTGCTCTCTTTCCGATACAGCCACACATGGAACTCACAATATAGACCACCATTATTGGAAAGTTTTGAACTATGTAACACTGCTGTTTTACCCTCAACACCAGCTCCCTCTGTGAGAAAAGCATAATGACCGCCGCTAGTGCCGAAGGTGTGGTCCAGTGCTGGGTGGTCATACGGGGAGAGATCATCAGCCCGCAAACGGCGCCACGAGAACACTCCTTCGCTGACATCATTCCACATGCACATGCCGTTCTCGAATGAACAATCTTGACAGTTAGCTTCATCAGCACCATTCATACACTCTGTCACCCAGTTACATACATCAGCCTTCGAGATACATTCATATGCAATCCCACAATAAAACTGATCATCACCGCAAGGATTAAAGGGAGGGGCAGGTGTAGTGCCGAGAGGAAGTGTGCCGTTCACTGACACACATCCACTTGAGAAGGACAGGTCATCGATTGCAATGTCTATATAATCGTAATATCTAATAACTCCTTCAATGACAAACTGGAATGATTGTGTCGACTGAGATGGGACAGTTCCACGATCCCAGAACTGTCCTTGTTCACCAGTCCTGCTAAAGACCAAAGTTTTCGCGCTGTACAGGTCCCACCTAATGTACACGTTCAGCTGTTGAATATTCATGCCGTACATATAGTAATGGAACCTTAAAACACAATTTTTTTCTTCTTTAGCCTGAAGCACTGGGCTGAGGAGCCAGGCACGTCTCGGACTCGACTCCCTAGCATCAGGCTTCGTAGTATACTCGGAGATATATAGGTAGTGGCCGCTAACAAGTCGAGTGGTGTGGTCTACGGGAGGGCCGGTCAGGTGGCTGTAGCGGCCGGCGGGTGTTGGACCCGATCCAAGTTGCCAGTCTGAGGGAAAAGTCATCGTAAATTTCTTAAGATTTATATAAAGATTTCCAAAAGAAAATTTACATAAAAAAGTAATAATCAATTTCATGGTTGTACAGTACAGTTTATAAACACAATTAAATAAAGGCTGGGTTAAGTATAAGTGGAGGATGATTCTATTATGTTCAGTGTTCTTGTCTTTCCTGACCCTATCATTAAGCTTACAGGCATATACCTTAGATGCTTCCTTTATGAAAAACTCAGAGATATGTAATTTTCATATTTTTTAATTGTTGATGATCAGTGTGCTATATATATATATATATATATATATATATATATATATATATATATATATATATATATATATATATATATATATATATATATATATATATATATATATATATATATATATATAGAATACTGTACATGCTTACAGGCTTTAATTGTTGAAGTGCAGTGATATATCATAACATCAACACCTTTATGGGAAGAGATGGAATGTTACAAATAACCCTGGTAGTTCAGTGGCAGAACATTCGTCTAGTAAATGAATAGTCGAGGGTTAGGTTCCTCCCTACTGTATACTGGAGAGAAAGACTGGATTCCTTCTTAGCACACTCAGCAGTAACATGAAGACACTATCTGATCCCCTTCCATATGGTGGCACAGCCCCTCGGTGGACTATCATCTTGCCCGGGGATCAGAACCTACCTGGATTACCTTGCATCAAAAGAGTTAAAGATCGACATATTAATAACAAGATGTGGATAATCAGAATCTACTCGACAAAATATTTCTCCATTTACCTTTGTCATCTTGTTCAGCTTCTTGTGTCCAGTCGCACTTCTGGTTACCCTCAAAGGTGCACACTGCGACACCGGAGAAGAAACAGTCTCTTTCATCACTCATGTCCCCACAGTCGTTTGTCATATCACAGATCAAGTCGTCATCAACACACATTCCTGCGTCCAAGTAACATCTTTTATTAGTACGTGGTGGTGGTGATACTTCAGCACTAACGAGCTAAAAAATTCAAAAGATAAATAATTTGTCAACCTATTAATTAATACAACTAAAGTTAATACACATGTATATATTTTACTAATGACATTGTTTATAATCTTTAACATACCGTATAGATTGTCCTCAAAATCGATATATTCGTGTTCTTAACTTCTCGTGACTACAACTAGATCAGATCAACTTAACACCAGTGTGTGTGTGTGTGTGTGTGTGTGTGTGTGTGTGTGTGCGTGTATGTGTGTGAAGGGCCTTACAGACAACTATAAAACATACAGAAACAAGAAGAACACTTGAAAAGTCATACTCACATCTTCTACACTGGTCATGAACTTGCCACTGGACCAAATTAACCGATTCAACTGACGTCCTGGAGGGTTTAAATTATTCACGAAAAAGCAATGAGGTTCATCTGATAATTATAAAATTAAGGATTTGACTTTTGAACGAACTGGTGGTTTTGGGTAACGATGGGTCGAGTCACACCTGCACTGACCTGTGTTACACGTGAGCTGGTTTGGGAGACAGTTCCCGGAGTCATGAGGTATATAACAGTTGTCGAAAGAGAAGTCATCTAACGTGAGGTCTGTGGGAGGTGCCGTGGACATGGCCTCCACACGCACTACAAACTCTCCTGGCCAATCTGTTAGTCAAGGGAGGATATTGACCAGAAGTGAGCAGTGAAGGTCATTATTAATCTTCTAAATATCCATTGTAATACAATACCAGCAGGACCCTGTAGCTAGTGAACCAAACTGATGAGGTGTTAAATCTTGAATATCCTTCCTGATAATATAAACATTAAAAGCGTTGTGTATTATCTGAGCTTGTGTCTACAGGGCCACTATACTTTCCCTGTTAAGTAAAAAATAATTACTCATAATGAAGGAAAATTCTTCTTGATAGATAAAGTACCACAAAAACAGGCTAATACTAAATTAAATAATATAATAATCCAAAAGAAAGACACAGTTAAAAGAAAGAAAACCAAGAAAATTATACCGTAATTTGACTGTAAGAAAACAACAATACTCACTCACCCTGGAGCATCACTTGACCCATCGTCCAGGTATCAACAGCTCGGTTGACAAAATAGGACACTGGTGTGACCTCCTCACTTCTCTCCACATTAACACTCAGCTGTATGGCCTTCTCCGGCCCCATGTTGGCGTTCTCACGGTACCTGCGGAAGGGGGTAGTCTTCACGGTGTTTGTAATGAATTTTTATTTCCATGACGGTCTCCTGGCTCTTCTCCCATGACAAAATGGCACAAGTCCAAATTCCAAAAGTACATTAAAAATATCCTATGGGCCTTTTTTTTTTTAAATAATTCCCATGATTAAATTCTGGGGTCGGACCGTTTATAAATCTTTAAGACTCGAAGAATCATATTCTTAGATCACCATTAGCGCCTGATCAGATTTTAGTAAAATATTATTACTGTGAACAATAAATGTGTTCACTGATGACATAAACTTAGAGAGAAAGGCATTACCATTACTACTGTGTATAAACAAACTGTACAACCTACCAGAAGATGAAGGCGCAGTAAAGCTGGGAGTTATGGTGGGGTCTGGTGACGAGAGCGGCTGGCCCACTGTCTCCACTGGCTAGTTCCAGAACATAGAGGAAATGACCCAGTGGTGTCCCTAGTGTGTGGTCGTAGATGAACTTCCCATCATAATTCCGAGTCAAGTTATGTCCAATTTTCCACATGTAGTCCTTGCTGTTGAAGGCCGTCCACCCACACATCCCTGTAAAAGCAGCAGAGACGCTATAGATGTGATAGTTGTAACTTGATAAAAAAATATATGGAGAGTGTACTGTAGTCTGTGGTGCTGTGGTAAGAGTCAGTGCTCCAAAATCAAGAATGAAAACGATTATTCCGAGTGGGTTTTTTTTTCTCATAGTAAAAGATTATTGTACAGTAGTAAAGATCCACAGATTAACGTAGAGAAGAAAAAGAACTGATATTGAAGATTGAAAGATTCAGTACCAAACGTAATTTCTGGACACTGAACCCGACCGAATTTTCATATTAAAAACTCGAATTTAGTTCTTTTACGTACAATCAATTTATGCCACAAATAAATCCCACTTCTATATACAGTTAACTAATGGCAAGGAAGGAAGGACACACACACACACACACACACACACACACACACACACACACACACACACACACACACACACACACACACACACACACACACACACACACACACATTCACATTTTAAATTACTCCAATGCTGTAATGGATGTGCTCAGCTCTGGAGTCTCTCTTCCACAACACGATCTCAGGTTATCCACATGACTTAGCGCATATACAGTACACTCTTCACTCTTCTCACCTTACGTTCACCCTTTTCACCTAGCGTCCCTCTCAACCTATAAATAAACACCCTAAACATATTAAAACTATGGATATTATTTCAATGTAAGTAAAAGTAGGAAATAAATAATGCACTTACCGTTTTCAAAGTCACACTCGCCGCAGTTCTCTTCATCATCTTTGTCAGAACAGTCAGGATGGAAGTCACACACTTGTGTACTTGGTATCATTCTGCCGTCTTTACAATAATACTGAAAGGAGATAAAATGGGATAACGTAAACAATAAAAGAAGTTGAATGAGTTAACAAGGCAAGAAACTAATTAATATCGATAAATATATACGTGTGAAAATGGCCTAGTTCTTATATTTATACCAGAGAGCCGAGTATACCATAAAGTGAATAAATATCCTTCTCTAGATCAAAGCAATCTAGTCACAGTATACGCATGCGCAGAGAACACCAAAAAGCAAAACAAAATCTAAGCGCAGATCCCCAGACTCTCACAATAACCAATAAATAGTGAGATACTTAACTCTTCCTCAAATGGTCATTACTTATAAAACATGATGATGATATATGAAAAAGTTAGAAATATGTAAACACTGGCGGGGAATGTTGCACTGTGTTTGAGGGGAATAAAGTAACTTTGATGTTTATGGTCTCAGCTATACCTAGAATATTGATAAGCCTGAAAGACATAAACATTATTTAAGAAAAGTACAACAAAGACAACAATAAAACTACCACTAAAAAATTGTACCCCCATACCCTGGTGTAAATCTATGTATCACCCCCATACCCTGGTGTAAATCTATGTATCACCCTCCATACCCTGGTGTAAATCTATGTATCACCCCCATACCCTGGTGTAAATCTATGTATCACCCTCCATACCCTGGTGTAAATCTATGTATCACCCTCCATACCCTGGTGTAAATCTATGTATCACCCCCATACCCTGGTGTAAATCTATGTATCACCCTCCATACCCAAGCGATTACAAAAATCAACATTTCCTCACCTTATCAGGAATGTCGGGACACACACCATACGATGTCCAGGTGTCATCAATAGCAAGATCTCCCTCTGTCCCGGAGCCAACGACACCCACGATATTGATAACAAAGTCTGGGAGTTGAGGTAGACCGATCCTTCCCTGTAGAACACCATTAGCGTAATTAGCGTATTAATTTGTAGTACATTAAGTGTTTTCTGTAGTTGATTTACGCATTGTGTACCTGATATTGCATTGTAATTTCACATACATTTTCTTATGGGCTCAAAATATATCCTCTCACTGAAATGCGTAAATGACAGAATATGGAATGAGCAGAAGGCCACTAGATACGATAATATGTAGTACAAATAATTCACTATATTTACCAGGCGCCACTCCTCTGCCTGGTTGCCCTCCCTATCAAACACTGTCTTGTTCCCCCCATCTGTCTCAATGATCACACGGAGAGCTGAAAAGAAGAAGGATCATAGTCGACTGTACTGTACTTGGGTGAAAAATAAATAACAGAGAGGAGAGTCACAGAAAAAAATGGTCCGGATACATAAAAAATTTCCCCATGTGTTAATTTTGATATTTTATGCATTAGTTGAATATGGACCAGTTAGGTTACGTTATTACACTTCCAGTCACCACAAGTCACTATTATTACCTCCAATATCTTGTCCACTCATGTAGTAGTAAAACTCAAAGCAGTAATCTCCTCCTGTTATGGGTGGAGATCTTAGAAACGCCTGTGACCCCTGCCATCCAATGCTCGCACTCATCAACATGTAGTGACCTGGCAATACAAAATGTAGAGGTTCTTGGTTCATTTTCATATACTGTGTGTGTATGGTATGGACAAAACTTAGAAAGATTGGTTGAATATTGAAGACATTTTCGTCTAATCAACCAAACACACACACAGACAAACTAATAATCCATTTGATATGAGATATACTCACCATATATTGAGTTCAAGGTATGGTCATACTGTGGCCCCGTGTTGGCAGTGGGTGTGGAGCCAGACTGTAGTACCCAGGTTATATCACCGTTAGTGTCGCTTGCCCAGTCACACAGTCCGCCCTCGAAAGTGCAGGTGGCAGCAGCAGGACACGCTTTGGCGTCTACCACTACATCGTCAATTGCGATGATGACATTACTTTTAGGGTTGTAAACAGATCCTTCAAACGCCACCTGTTGAAATAAAGGAGCAGTTAAATACAGAAGTTAAGGCGTCATTAATGGCGTAACATTATTGTAATGTACCTAAAAATACACAACTTTTCTTAAAACTTGCGGCAAGCACATCTAGCCGGGAGTCATTTAGGCTCTCTCGTTGAAACACTTTTTGTCCTGTAAAAATTTCCGTCTAGAATCTCACCAGACGTCATTATTGACCTGAGACCATGAAAAGTTATAATAAAGAACAGAAGTAAAAAATAAAGTTTTCATTGTAAGTTTTGAGACACGGATTTTTCTTACTTCCTAGAGAATAACAACATCACCAGTTGCCTAGGGGTTACAATTTACAAAAGGAATTATTACTCTCAACAGTGTAAACAAGATCTCAACTTACTTTAAAGTCAGCAGAAGCTGTTACGGTAAAGTTGCCAAGGTTCCAACTGTCTCCCATAGGTTCATTGACAAACCACGTCGTACCTACATCACTCACAGACACGTTCAACCCAGCTACCATATCGTCAGGACCACTTATGTAATAGTACCACTTCACGCACCTGCAGGAGAAGAATGCATAATATCAAACAAAGCCAACAGCTACTACATGCTTTAAGAAAATTACACGAGACAAACATTCCTACGTATGAAAAAACTCCTTTCCAGCATAAACAGTAGGATTTGCAAATACTGTCAAGAGTTCTTTTGAAATATAGTTAATGTTCTTGTTTACAGCTGCAGTTAGGACCATGTTTTTCCATCTCTCAGTAGCGGATGGGATAGGGAGAGATTTTCCCTCGGTCCGTCAACCAAGAGAGAGTCACTTAAAACTCTTGTTCACATACCTATCCAACAGTCATTCATGTACGTCATGCACAGTCTGGTCTCCTCGACATCCATTTTTCTCCAGTTTAGCCAATGCTTTTAGCTCCATTTGTCAGCACTTTTAGCGTCTTTCCTAACTGACTGACTGGCGCAATAAAACACATTTCCCCTCATGCCTCCGACTTGCTCACTATACAGGGTTCTTAACTACACCCTCGTCTCGTTTTTCTCATACTTAATATACAGTTTCACGGAGACATCCCTATTATATCTTGGGGGTCAAAAAAGGTTAAGAGTCAAGTTTCACTTCTTTGTAACTCCTTACTTGCATACATGACCAGGTTGCTCATCATTTCGTCCACAGCAAGAGTTTCCAAGCTTATTACTTCTCCATGCAGGTCTTTCCTTTGTTATGTTCAATATGTTGTATGTTCCATTAATTTCTGATCACAAGTGCCAATACACCAAAACCTAAACACATTCTTCATCTACTAAACAACTTACATTCTTCTATATAAAGGTTTCTTCACTTAATAGTTATTTTCCTTCTTAAACTGTTGTCATTTTAAACACACAACAATAACATAAAGTACAGACAAAAGGTAACTACTACACATACATGCTGTCGTCATCACCCCTCATGTATGGAGTGGTGAGCACACTTTGGGTTACTTGGTCGTCTTCGTAGTTTAAGTACATGTAGTGACCATCAGCCTCGCCTGAAGAAAAACAAACATATAGAAATATTAAACCACTTTAACTCATTATTAAACCAAAATTTAAAAAAATATTTATATATTCTTAGTTATAATATCATAAGGTTTACATCAGTGAACAATGCCCATTTATATAACAGTTATGTGGATTTTGAAAAAAAACAAAACATTGATAGGTTAACAAAGCGATCTTAGTTACATACAATATAAGCATCACCTCACAGGATGGTTTAAGCTTGGTCAAAGAGTAAGACAAGGCGGCATGCTGCCTCCGACATTATAATATGCAATTAGAATTTCAGTGAGAGAAGTTATAAATAAAAAAGAAGGATTAAAAGTGTGTGTGTGTGTGTGTGTCTCTGTGTGTGTGTGTGTGTGTGTGTGTGTGTGTGTGTGTGTGTGTGTGTGTGTGTGTGTGTGTGTGTGTGTGTGCGTGTGTGTGTGTGTGATAAAGACCTTACCATACGTGTGATCTGTAGCTGGGCCTTTGGCAGCATCAGCTCCCCAGGACCAACCCCAAGACTCGTCGAAGTTTTGGATGGTGTACTCACATTTGTCGGAAGCTTCAAAGTCACAATTAGCACCTGTTGAAGGCGAGGGCACCTTTATAAGTAACAATGATACAGAATCACATGAATACATTTTTGCAGTATTATGAAATATTTATATAATCCCTTACAGAAATATAACAATGTACATAATTATTGTCAGGTAAGCCGCTCAGGTCCTCCCTCTCCTGATTGGTGGGTCCTGTGCTCCCTCTCTCCTCCCCAACTCTCACTTAACCACCACAACCATATATCTTCATAATCATATCCTCACTCAACTCACCAAAGCCTCGGGATGAACAGGACCCATCGAGGAGGCGGATGTCATCAATAGCCGTGTGTCCATCATCAACCGAGCCAAGGTTCAGTGATGCTTCGAAGATGATGAACTGGTTTACTGTACTGTTTGGAACGAAAAACCTCATTTGATGCCATAACTCCCCCAGTTCACCTTTCGCATGCCAGTCTACCGCTCGATCAGGCTCAAATTCGTCTGAAAATCACCGGAGTTGTTACTTAATTCCAATAACTAGACCACAGGTAGGACGAAGGACATGTGATTAATTCTCATGGGGCTCCTCGGTAGTTGTCCTGAAGTAGTATAATATGACAACAACAATGGAGATTCATGTGACAGCTTCAGATGGAAAGTTACGAGAATCATCACTTTATAGTTAGAGACACAGGGCGCCACAACACTGATTCGCTAGATTCCTGTCAAGACACAACTTGTTAGATTCAATTTATCGACTTGGAATAACAGTTTACAATAACCAGGAGCCAGTGACTTACCTTGTACTAGATACAAATTAAGGTTGTTAGGGTGAGAGCCATGCATGTAGTAGTAGAAGGTGAAGCAGTGGGTGGCGGAGGGCGGCATGTCTTCTGACTGTAACCTGATACGAACTCCTTTTCCCATTTTCTGGCTCACAAAGATAAAGTGACCTGTACAAGATAATATTACTGTATAACTCAAGAGAGTATGTTGGTGTTTTGTATTGCAAATGGTTTTAGTGGCAGAGAACTTGTTAACAAATTACTCATAAATCTAGTCATATTTAAGGTGCTGTGTTAATAATGAAGTAGTACAGACAGACAGACGGACGGGAAGGAACTATAAAAGGAAAGTCGACTTACCCCCAGACAAGTGTGAGGTGTGGTCTACAGCAGGGCCCAGGTCGGCGTAAGTATCCCCGTTCAGCATGTTACCAGTGACCAGATCCCAGTCTCCACCATCAGTCATGTCCTGACTCCAACCACACAGTGAGCCGCTCTCGAAGTTACAGGAGATCAGCTTTGGAGGCTTTGTTGTAGAAGAGGGGTTTGGTGTGCTGCTAGACCCGCTACACGCACCAGGGGTCACCTGTATGTCATCCAGGGCGATGTAAGCTGGCGGAGAGAGACACCAAGTATCATATAATACATCATAATTTTACTTTAGAATGAAACTGACATAAAAGTTTGCAGATTGTGGAATTCCATTATGTACTGAAACGTTTACCTGTATAGGCTGTATACAACACGTGTGTACAAACCAATGATCAGTTAAAAGCTGTAAACATCTCTGTCCTTCTGTTTTCCTCGAATGTGCTTCAGCTGTTAGGGTTATTAAGGACAGTTCACTAATCTACAGTAGTAAGTTGCTCCACAGTCACACGGTAGTACAGGTGTGATTAGTACCAAGGTTCACTCATTCTAGAATCATGATGGAAATGTTCATAATTTTAAACTTTTGACGTCTAGTGTATAACCTTAACACAACCTACCTGAAGAAAGACCTTTACAGTATTACCAAAATACAAACATACATAAAAAAACAACACAACTTAGTACAGTAAACGGTTAATAGTACTACTGCCAACTGAAGCACCTAAAACTAAACACAACATAAGAGTGACAGGCTTAACACACACTCACTGAAACACCTCCCTTAATATCTTCATGAATCGGAGCTTAAATCAAGATCTTATATGAGTTAGGAATACTGATCCTTTCCCTTTGCTAATGTAACTTGGTAAGGCATAGTGAGGTTACCTTCTGGGGTCCTGTAGGAGTAGTGAGTTACTTCATAATGTCACTGTTTACGTTTATTATCCTAACTGTTCTTCTTCTTGGATAATAGTAAGTGTGTTTATATCCTGGTTGTCTTAGCCCACCATTTACTATCTGCTTTAATCAAACATTCACACCCTTGATCAAAACTCATCGTCTTTGATCAAACATTTACACCCTTGTTCAAAACTCACCATCGCCTTTGATCAAACATTCACACCCTGATCAACACTCACCATCACCGACCAGCTCAGAAGTGTAGGTCTCTGAGTGCATATGGAGGTGGAAGATGTACGTCAGATCGTAGAGAGTTTCCTGAAGAAGGTTCCACCGTTGGTCGACGCCACGATTCACCACAACTACATTCTTACTCAAATTCCTCTGTATATCCACAACATTTATGGATAGTGAGTTGGAGTCTGGTGCCGGGGAGAGAGAGAGAGAGAGAGAGAGAGAAATAAACAAGAGCATAATGTACTAAAAACATATCTTCAAGTATCCAGCCATTGAAAAGCTTGAGGAAATATAAAGCTTATCAGTTTTAATGTAAAATTTTTAATGTCAAATATGCCTTATGATGATGTTGTGGTATATCTGTAGTTTGGTTAAGAATCCACCACTAATTATCTGAGTTGCAAGGGCAGTAGGTTTAGATACGGCCAGAGACACTTAGCTGCATTATATTATAGATCCCATAATGTATAGTCCAGGTAATAGGGTCATAGATTATCTCCCTCTTTAACCCTTTGATCAGACATTCACGCCTTGATCAACACTCACCAGATGATTTTATTCAGGTGAGAGAAGCCCTTACCTCTATCTAAAGGGTTAAACGGAATATTGTCTTATTTTATTCATCTTAAACTCAAGAATGTGACCCAAACCAATTTAGTATCTAGCGAGGTCTACTGGATCCTGTTTTAACCTAACCTAACTACTGAAACTGTATCCCAGCCCTAATGGTGCCCGGTTCTAGAGGTTATATTACGCTCAGTAGGACCGGAAGCTATATTTAACTCGTAACCATTATACTCGCCTCCTATTTGCAGCGTGTTGATATAGGCAGTGAAGCAATATTCCTTTTTCAATGGTGAGATGTCAACACTGTCCAAGTTGGCGTAACAGACAGATTCATAGGCCATACACCTACTGTTGTCCGCGAATATGTAGTGACCTGTGGGAGAGCATGTGTTATAGCAGTGCAGTACCCACCCCATCCCTCTCCTCTCCTCTTCTCGCCTTGAAAAATACAGGGTTCGCTTCTGTTAATATACGATCTCATCCTACCTACAAATTATTACATTATAAATACATAAAAAAATATATATATACTGAATTATGCCCACCTGGAAATTAAGTCTTAAGGATAATAATTAACCTTAATGCAAAATGACATATTCTGAGCATTTTAAAATAAACACAAAGTAAGATATTGTATTGGTCTTTTATTTTCAAGGATATATTTAAATGCTTCTTTATAATTGGTTTTGTTTTGACCATAATAGAATATTTTGTTAGCGGCGAAAAATGTGCCGCTTCCGTGTAGCCCCTCGCATGTATATAGTGATAGATATCTTTACCAAATGACTGTTTTAGAATACAATAAATCATTCTATACCACCGATAAAGTTTTATTTTATCTCTAATTAAACGTATCTTCTGAAAACCTCCATTGGTTACTCTCGACAATGACTAAACACATAACAATATAAACATAAATGATAACTATGTGAAAATATTCCTGTTAGTTAAGACAAAAATTAAACATAAATAACAAAATAACAAACCGTTGCTAGTGAGAAGTGTGTGATCGTATGTAAGTCCATCGGGGCCATCCACTGCCTGGTACCACACCCAGCTGGCGGGCGTGTAGTGACCAGGCAGCGAGTCTTCATCCACGTAGCCACACAAACCATCCTCAAAGGTGCAGGAACCAGGATCTTCACATTTACCCCGCATTACGCTAAGGTCATCCCAGGCCATAGCACCTTCAATACCTTTCCCTCGTAAACCTTCCAAGATGATCTGTTGTAAGTGTGAAACATAGACCTCAGTTAACTAATGATTGGTAACTTGTAAACATGTTACTGTACTAAACTATCAGATTATGGTAAGTGTTCTGTACTTAGTATACTGTATTGCATATCAGATAACAAAAGAACACAATTTTTAAAATAAACTTGTGCTTAAATTTACATGATAATATTGTAAAACATATAATTAGTTGAGGCTGAAAAGAACAAAATAATAATGTGGAAAATATCATAGGAAAAGGTACAAAACTTACACTAAAGGACTGTTCATTTTGTATGGTGACCTGTCCGAACTGCCACCCGCTGCGGAAACTGTAGGTGTGTTCCCAGATACGGTCCGATACTTCTGTGGTCAAGAGACGGACTCCCAGCTGGCCTAGGGGGGCTGAATTACTGTAAAATTAGTAAAAAAAAGAAAGAAATTACTCATCTCTCACTCAGTTTTAAATCCCATCACAAAACATTCAGTAATTCTGGGGACCAACTGAGAATGAAACCAACTACTGTATATATACCTACCTTGAAAAAATGAAACATGTAGAATCTTTCTTTTTTAATCAATTATAACCATTTAAAGATTTCTATAGCCCAGTGACAGCAGTTGGTCGTGAGGAGGGAGGGAGGGGGAGGGGGGTGAGATCAAAAGAACATAACCTAACCTTCCTCTGGTAAACACACTTATTTAATGGTACAAAAGCTAATTACTACTCGTTATTATCTTAGGCCAAAGAAATATGGTTACTCTCATCAGCCCTTAAAAAAAATCCGAGATACTACTACTGTGAACAAAGAAAAGGACTTACTTGTAGGAGAACAAGTAGAACCAGAACTGGAAACAATCTCCCTCAGGGGTAGTGGTGGTGATGGACGGGCTCTTGAAGTAGCCTTTCTGGCCATCTTGATCTCTCCCGATAGGCAGGAAAATGTAGTGGCCTTCATCAGTGCCCCATGAGTGATCCACCCTGCACAACACCACGACATAGTAAGTTAGATCATTACTTAGTGAATTAGTAAGTTATCTTGTAAGGAAATTTATATACAGTTGATAAATAAGTCGGTAATTATGGAGGACAACACAGCCTGACTTGAGATATACAGTATATAAATTCCTCTAAAGATGTATACGATATTTTTAGTTATAAGCTTTCCCCTATAACATTTACTACCTTCTCAACCATTGATTATAAAATTTTCCTCAAAGAATCTAAGGAAGAAATTACCCTTAAATACCGAGGACCCCGGGAGTTCATGGCGGTATTTCAGACTCTAGAAAAAATATTACAGTACATGTGTAGAACAACATATAACACCAATGGATGTATTCTGCATTAAATTATATGTTTCAGTTCTTTAGATTAATAAAAGATGATATTTATCAACCGAGGTACGACTTTTATAACTACAGTGTTACTCCTATTACTACTATTACTACTGCACCGCTTCAAGCACCACCGCTGTTATTTTTAATGTAACTCTTCAGTTATCAATATCCTAAAATTACTAACAATCTTAAGATAACCAGCGACAGTAAACTCCATACTATCAGGTGGAGAGACTGCACCACACACCATTGTGTCGGGAGACTACCTTGTCAAAAATTCCAATCTAACATCACTGAAATAAAACACAGACCAACAGTCCATTATAAACACAGTAACAGCACCGATACTATTAAGAGAGAATAAAAAATTGCTTTCAAGTCCTATTCCCACTGTCAACCTGTCAACACCCGTTACTTAGCAACCATAACGCAACATTCACCCATACTCAGTAACAGTACAGACTAATACACTCACGGCGGGGAGTTGGGGTCTCCCTCATGACCGTCGCCCTTGTACCAGCTGAGCATGACGGTGCCGTCGTTATAGTTATCCCAGTCACACACTTCTGAATCATCGTCAAACGAGCAGCTGAAGGTCGCTGGGCAGTTACCCTCGATCATATCTACAGTATCTAGACGGATCCTCTGGTCGACCTGCTCACCTATGAACTGTATCTGTGGATAAATATAGAAGATAAGGGTTAATGTTACTGTATAGGGTTATAACGGCGCTTCAACAGATAAGAACTTTAACCGCGCAACAACACACAACTCTCTACTGAGCTCTGACACACACACAGACCCTCACACAAATACTTTCACTGAAACTTCGGACTTTGTTAGGTTAGGTTAGGTTATTTCAAGTTAGATTAGGTTAGGCTAGGTTAGGTTCCCCAAATTACTGAGAACCAAGTTTAAGAAATACTGTAGACTTAACTTAAAACATATAACTTTGGCCCTAAACGTTTATTAAATGGAATACTGAACTAAATATGCATTATTATTATTGTTATTATTATTATTATTATTATTATTATTATTATTATTATTATTATTATTATTATTATTATTATCATTATTATTATTATTATTATTATTATTATTATTAATATTATTATTATTATTATTATTATTAATATTATTATTATTATTATTACTCTCTTCAGTAACAATTCTCACCTGTATCGGGACAGGAGTGGTCACCTCTATGTGTTGGTTCCGCCACACGGATATACCAGTCTGGTTCTCCCGCATCCACAGTAGCTCATCGCCTCCATCCTTCGTCAGCAGCTTCACCTTCAGGCTGGTGTCTCTCTCTACCATGTAACTGAGGAAATGTAATCAAGGTCTCCATCAACCAAGTCAAAATTAATAAAGAAATAATATACAGTGGATATATGATCAAGGTGGGGAGATTGATCAAGGTGGGGAGATTGATCAAGGTGGGGAGATTGATCAAGGTGGAGAGATGGTAGTAGATAAAAAAAATAAATACCATCTGGTTACCAAACACTTCAAGTCACAGTATCTAGTTACCATGAGCAGACCAGGTGACTAACAGACGCGCGGTGACACCCGACCCGAAAGAAAGGTAACTCATTCTTGATTATTTACTTAATTATTGATACTCATAGGAGATAGTAAGAGTTGGATTATATAACCAGTAAGTATTTCAGTCACTTATTTGTTCAGTTAGATCATGTAATACAGTGTTATTTAGGTATAGCTTCCTCAGATGCTGTGACACTGTATACCTAATTGTATCATCAACAGGTCATATAAGGGAGTTGAGTGTGTGTTGGGGGAAACATAGATCTCTCTAACACACTAGAAGGATATATGTTTTAATTAATTCAGGAGTTCAAAGACGTTGTGGAACTAATCTTAATCCTTAGGTCCATAGACACACAATAAACACGGGACGATAAAAGAACAGTATCGCGCCAACTCGAAGCCTTGACATGACCGCCGAAGGTACATCATCAATACGTGGATGACTGGATAACTTACCTGAAGGAGAGGCAGAACAAATCTGTAGGAGGATGATACCACCAAGTCTGCATGATGGCAGTTCCCTCGGCGTCTGGTGTTATTAGAAACTTCTCTGTATTTACAAGGAAAAAAATGCATTAAGTCTAATATTCCTTGTAAAATGTAAATTAATTTTCCTCCTCAACACTTATGTACCATACAGTATCTATCTATCGGTCTATCTATCTATCTATCTATCTATCTATCTATCTATCTATCTATCTATATATCTATCTAGGTCAAAAAATACTTTAAGCACGAAAAACAATGATAACTCCTCGGCACGACTCTATAACTCTTCATGAAAGTATTCTATCACAACTAGAAAAAAAGGCGCCTTAATTTGTTGAGATTTCTTCAGTTTCTTATTTCCCTCTTACCCGCCTCGTCTCTCAGGGCGGAAGATGACAGAATCAACACCTGCTCTGATCCACACCATTTCGTTTTTATTGTTTTACCAAAGACATAAAATGAACATATGTTTTACCCTCTGGATGAGCTCTATCTGTGGTGACTACCCAGTCAAGGGTGTCATTGTTGCTCTGGAACAGTAAACACGGGTCGTTGAAGTTACATGTGAAGTCTCCCTGTAGGTAAAAATATCACTTGTTTTATCGTCGGTCCAGAATATTAATATGATTTTAAACAATGGTGACGAGGCCGCAGGGCGCAGGTGTTATAAAATGTATTGCAGATCTAAATAACTAAATCGCAGAGGACATATAAATCATGACAGCAGCTTAAGTGTAGTGGTGGAAATTCAGACCATTAATAAGTGTTTAATAGAAGCAGTGGTGTTGACAAGTGACTGACACACAGACATCTTCTCATAATGGATAAACTGTTTAATGCGCATCATTACCTCTGTGATCAAACAAGTTGTATTAAAAACTATAAAAAGAGAGGCTTCTTAATGTCAAGGTTGGCATGGCCTCATGAATAATGCAATACGTCATCAAAAAGAATTACCTCAAACGGTGGAGTCTTAGGGTCACACCACCGCCACTCCACGTCATCCACAGACACGTCAGGCATGGTACCGTCATGCTCTATGTCCCAGTTGCTAATCAGTTCCAGCTGCCAACAAAGGTTCACATTTATCGAAAGAAAAATCATAATTCTAAGTTGTTAGATTTCGCTACAGGCTGTTGTGTACAAGAGAGATTAGTCACGTTTACAAAGTTATGTCACAGTGTAAATATCATATACAGGACACTTACATAAACCTTTTGATTGTATTCACCAATGTGGTGCTGAAACATCTTCCAATCCTGACTAGAAGTTTTGAGCAATTCTTCTACCCAGATCCAGAGTTTTTTTTCTGTATTTAAGTTTATTCTGATGCCGGGAGAATCATATGACTTTTGGTACCAGAACACGACGGTGCAGGGTAAGATCACAGGCCCGAACTCTGGTGAATGTTGTATTGCCGTCGCTGGTGAGTGATCTGTTGGCGTGGAAGATGATGATAATAATAAGTCCGTTCAAACTATGGACAACTCTCGCCCACAAAACAGGAGACCTTTTCCCGTATTGATGATCATAGACAAATGTTTTAACTGAGAGTGAGGAGTAAGGCAGATGAGGAAGGAAAGGAAGAGGATATTAATTGGACGGGAATAAGGAATACACAATTGACCCGGCTTCCTCGTTGCCGTGAAAGGAAAATTAAATACGAGCTTGCAATTTGAAATTATTCCTGTTATAAAATAAAATGAGACACATATGGGATGAAAAAATGGGTCTGTAAGAGTCAGCTTGTGATGGAGAGACCCGGAATCAAACACAAAGCCAATGAACTTACCTGAAGAGCTGCCATCCGCCCACATAAAGTGACCCGTTGAATTTGCGTAGGTGTGATCGAAGTCGAGAGCAGTTCCAAAAGGGTGGGTAGCGTCCCCAGCTTTCACCCTGGACCAAACGTATGTGGTATCGTTGTAACCAGCGTCATACCACCCGCCCAGGTCAATCTCGAAGTTTGTGTTACCGCAGGAGGACTCGTCATCCCCTCGAGGGCAATCCACCGTGAAGTCACACACCTGAGGCAGACACAGCCAGAATTACAGGGAAAATTCTGGTGGATTCATGTTGAAAGACTCTTTTAATCTCCACCCCCTCTTTCCTTTTCAGCTCTCCTTCTTTTCCTCTTCCACTTCAAATCCTATCTTCTTTTTGCTGGCAGATACCAAGACAGAATTTTTTAGGCCATGAGAATAAGAAAAAAAAGAAATTACTGTAATTATATAAAAACAGCCTCGTACGTTCACCTCTCCACCTTACTGTAATGTTTCTCTTGTTGTGACGTCACCTTGAACTAATAGAACAAAGGCATAGCGATAACAGTATAATTCTTAACAGTACTGTATGTTAAGCTGAAATAAAACAGCTCCTGTAGTCAACAACTAATTAACGGATATTACAATATAAACGTGAAAGAGGACCTCGGAGGCTGCTAGGGACACAGTCGACTAAGTCTTTCATTTCTCAGTAAACCAGGAAGCAAAGCGGCCGGCAGTGTCCTCGACCGCCATCACTTCATTGTAAAGTGCGGTACCCCTTCACAGCTGGGGTGACTAGAGGTGCCCCGGGCGCAATTCATTGTAACAGAAGGCAATGAGTGTATGCACTTGGTCACCGCACTCCCGACATATCTTTAAACTTTATCGTCTACATTAGGCCAAAGGTCAAGGTTAAAGATCATTAAAAGTACGTTATTGTTGATGTAACATTACCCGTCATTAAATGGTGTTGACGAAAAGTTCACAGGTAATTGGACTGACAGACTCATATTAATACAACAGTACAGTATCAGGAACAATTTGTGTGTGTGTGTGTGTGTGTGTGTGTGTGTGTCTTAGTCTCCGTCAACAACGTTAACTTCCTTTACCGATTCATTTTTCAATATTATAAAAATGCAGGTGTTGCTCTATAGTGGTCAACATCGGACACTGGTCAAGGTCAAAGGTCATTGGAAGTTACCAAGCTGCAACAACTATCAAATGTTCATAATTGATCGGCCCGGGCTTAGAAATAGTTACAGCTGTTTTTTGGCCAACACCGGACAAACTTCAAGGTCAAACATCACTAAAAATGGTTGCTTTCCGTGTTTGTGACTGCAGTAGATGTAGGGTATACTGCACCAGGTCCACTTTGTTCAATATCACTTTCGTTATTATCTCTGACTCTAGCAGGACAAATTGCACAATAAGGTAGAGGTAAACGTCTTATTACTATATAGTTAAATGGTTTCTCAGGATGGCAGTACCTGGAACTCTGGGATACAGAGCTGTGAGAAGAAACAGGAATACTGGTCAGGGCCACACCTGGAGTACGGGGGTGAGGGGTGTGGCTGACACTGCTGGCTGAGGGTCACATTATCCACCATCACACTCCCACCCACCTCCACCACCTCCCCCTTCATCACTACCTGTACAAACAACAAGTATTTTTAACACCTACAACAATTATTACCATTATTTAGTACAGCAGAAGAAGTGACGAAAATTGTATTAAGAATTACAAGATTTTGTTATAGTTACAGATGAATTAACACAACTTGTTACACCTACATGAATTATAATAAATTTAAATGCGACAAACCGTGAATCTAAGGACACCAAGTCATGATCTTTGATTAATCTAAAAGACTTAAACGTACGTAAAACGGCACCGCAGAAGAGAGTTGAACCGTCTTGTGACTCCACCTGACCGACGTCTTCGCTTCGCTGCCCCAGATGGCTCTTCTTCTGTGTACTCGACCACTCTCAGCCTCCACTTGGACAATACGCATCACCGACGATCGTCCCGTCACTGTATAGTTCACTTCCACCTGTTATCATCAATACATTAACATCACTACGAGCCCAAAACTAAGAAATTTTTACTTAAGACAATAAACAAACCAAAAAATTTACTCAGACAATAAATAAACTAATATAAGTTATACATACCTATAGAGTAAAGAATCCTGACACTGTGTAATAACAACTGCCAAACCTACGAATTAATATCCAATAAACTCTAGTGGGATAATACACATATTTCATGCCTATTTAAGGAGTAATTACAATGGAACTTTACGGAAATGATAATCAAATTTGTTATATTAATTAAATACGATGATTGTCTACCTGAGACCCAGAGAAGTGTGTGTATATATCTTTCACTATGAAGTTGACCAGCTCCAATGACAGCAAAATTCCATAAGTACAGTGTGTCCTCCAGCGCTTGATATATTAAATAATCTTCACCTTGGACATCATGAATCCCCCACCTTTGACATCATGTATCCCCCACCCTGGACATCATGTATCCCCACCTTGGACATCATGTATCCCCCACCTTGGACATCATGTATCCCCCACCTTGGACATCATGTATCGTCTATCTTACGTGATCTAGCTCCCCCTATGATGAAGGTTCCACATTCTTACCTTACAGAGTCGAGAGGGAAGAATGACAGGACTTTGGAATCGACCTTCCATCATGCTACCATCACCACCAGCAGTATCAGGAGGTACTAACGCCAGCAGGTAACCGTCAGGAGTGTAGCTGGTGTCCAGGACTTGTCTCGCATTCCTCACCTCTGCTGCGCCAGAGAGGACCCAGCCGCATGGTTCCTCCTCCTCGAACCCACATTTCCATATACCTGTTTACGGTAGCCAATAAGATGATGGCTCGTCAGTAGCTACCTATCGTACTGTGTATAATATATAAATATATATATTTATATATATATATATATATATATATATATATATATATATATATATATATATATATATATATATATATATATATATATATATATATATATATATATATATATATATTATTTTAAGGATTCTGGTTTTAGATTTGAAAGCATTTCGTTCATTTTATGTTATCTAGCCCAAGTCCTCGAAATATACACAGACTTTACGGAAAGTTAACCCCATGTTGGCTGCTGATGGACGACATCCAATTGGCAGACTTGTTAATCCGAAACGCGCTCGCATTTCACTACGGACACGGCGAAGGTGAACACTACTAGGCATGTATTGGTTCCAGAATACATAGTACCTGAAATTCTAAACCTACGCCAATGTTGGTCAAGTTTGGTCTTAAATGAGGTCTCACTCAGTGCCGTCACAACATTCTCTGGTAGACCGTACCAAGAGTTCACTAACTTAATCTTATTCCAAAAATGTTCGCCCTGACAATTTTCTAAACTTGCGGCTTCTTTAGCCTAAAGCTGTGACCTCTAGTGGGGTGGGCATCCTGATATGAACACTCGACTGTGTAATGTTCTCTGAGGTGCTTATAGGCGTCTATTAAGTCACTTCTATTAAGTCACTCCTTGGGTGTAAATGGGACTGCCCAGTATGAGTCAATAGGCCCGCGGCAGTTTCCTCCATTCTTGTGTTCCTATAAGCTAAGTTATTGCTGGCGTTCTAATCTCTCTGGATACCTCAGACACCGGAGGGCAGGCACCGGTTCAATTGTTCAAATGTAATTGTGATTCATACTTAATCAAACTGAAGAACAGTTCACGAGATATGATAACATTTCATATTAACTTAAATAAAACACAACTTCACAGGTTTTATTGTCTCGTTCACCGTCATGTTTACGGTGAACAGCAAGAGACATCTTTCATTGGAATCAACCAGTCCAATGCTGTTGTTCATCAATACCTAGACCTGTTATCTATGTACAAATAACGGGGCACGAGTTTTATAATTTCAGTTTACCAGGCTGCCAACATACTACTTACAGGACCGTATTTTTAATGAGAGACCAGGGTATTATTTCAGTTTAAACCAACATGGCTCTCGAGTTTAGCAATGTGTTTTTCCGATGGTTTGGACAATTTTAAGACCCTTTTCTTCTATGACGTTTCTCTCGCAAATGATTTAAATATAACCATGGGATCCTGGGGGACGGAGCCACTCGGTTAGGAGGTGAGGTTATGTAATTTTAGGTCATTTGCGAGGGAAACGTCATAGAAAAAAAGTGTCTTAAAATTGTCTAGACCACCGGAAAAACACATTGCTAAACTCGAGAGCCGTGGTTGGTCGAAACTACAAATTGACCGTAACCAATTCATCCAAGTTCCATTAAACACGAGAGACAAATACGGTGATATAACAACTTCAGGAAATAACAGCATTAATATTAAATAAAACTTACCTGTTTACACCTTCCAAGTACTGTTTATAGCAAGCAGTGGGTAGCCATTCCAGTCGGTGTGGTTGAATGTCACATTATACATTTTGCTATGAACTTATTTCTAGTAACTTTCTCCACACTCAGCAACAACATTTGCTCTTACCATAGAGATGAAACAGTGAACACAAAGTATATGAATTACACAGATACATTTCCCAGAACACAATGTACGGCGTGTCACCCGCTCTTAGCACTAAACAAAGCACTGTCGTCGCTAAGAGGAAGTACGCCTCCCAAAGTGAAGCAGTATTGACCCCAAATGAGATAAAACAGCACAACTACATCAAGTGAAAGGGTAAGGGCCCGCTCACACCATAGCTGCAACCAGACGTATTTTGGCGTAATTTTTTTCATCTTAACTAATACCTGTTACACAACTCACTTTCTTTCTAGGGGGAGGGAAATTGTCTTCCTTCTCGGATAACATTTGAAAGATTCGAATTAGATGTGATTCTAATATAGTGTGAGATATGTGTTGTTAACTCGACTCACTCGTTCGGACAATTTACCTCAGAATATGTCCATTCCGGCCTCAGGATGAGCGGACCTGATCTCCGGTCTCACAGCAGATAACTTTTTCGGAGTTTATATTATTAGTAATTTTAACTATTGTGCTAAATACTAATTTCATATTGATTTGTTTTCGCCTTTAGCTGCTGGAGTGACGCCGTAATGTAAATAATATTCAAATGATATCCTTAATTCTTTCGTGATTTATAATTACAGATTTAGAATGTTTGGTGACAGGTCGTAATGTTTGATACAGGTCTGGCTAAATGCTTGTATGATCATTTTAATAATCGAGTCCATCGGATTTCCTTTACTATGCGATTACTCACACGCGAGATTTATGTAGACCACGACATAGCAGACTTCCAACTCACCGCGAGCAGCTGTGTGTTGACCCAGCGACAGGAAGATCACCTCAACCAGAAGGACCGCCACACTCTGGCCCACCTTCATTCTCACACCTACAACCTCACCGTCTCCTTAGTCGTCTTCGTTATAGTAACACCAAATTAAGACTTTCAGAAGCACTACCGACTGCGGACTTCAATGTTGCTCCGGTGAGCAATACTGACAGCAGACCTTTCTCCATTGTGTACTATATCTTATTTTTGTGTTTCAGAACACAAACATTTATCTCCAGCATTCAGAGGCGTATATAACATTGGAAACAATAGAGGGAGATAACCTGTGTACACTGACCTGACAATGGCTGTGAGCGCCAGTGGCAAGATAAGGACGAGTGTGGGCGTTTGGGAAATATGCTCACGTGAATGTTGCAATATCATCAACGGTTCTAGGACGACTCGTCACCGGACAATTCGTCACCAGGTAATTTAGTCACCCGATCATATTTATGCAAAGTTTCATGCTTCTACCCCAAAGTACATAATTATTTCCTTATCCGCCCCACTAAACCTAACCTAACCTCACCTATCCTAAGCTAACCAACCAAAATAGAGATATAATTATCTAAATTTAATATAAGGTACACGGTATTCCATAGAGTTTAAATATAATTAAATATATCTTACGGAGATAAACTTTATCTGTGGAAACTAGAGACGAAATGACCTGGTGATGAATAGACCGGTAATTAAATGTTTGTGTTTAAATGTAATGGTCAGCCAATTCACTGTTCTAAGTAAACAGGAATTTCAAACAAAGCAAACACTGTTTCGTGCTATTGGTCTACCAACCATAAAACACCCCCATCTATTGACACATTATCAGGACCACAGGTAGTTGGCTGAGATGATGAATTTTATAATTTAGAGTCATGCGTTTTCTTCTATTTCTTTACTGTATTAAGTGCATATGCAAATGCACATCTCACCCGTTTCACCTGTAGTTCCCGGAAATATTCGTGAGTAATTTCGAAACATTGGACGTGCTCTGTGTGCCTCAGTGAATACTGATCAGGTGAGTGTGGAGGTGTGCTAAACTTATGTAAAGGGTTAATGCTTGAGTCAGCCCGTGTTGATAAAAAACATAACCAAGAAAATGAGAATAAAAGGAGTTAATGGATATAACTACAAGGAAAATATAAAATGAGAAAACTATGAAGTCCTTAAATACACACACACACACATATATATATATATATATATATATATATATATATATATATATATATATATATATATATATATATATATATATATATATATATATATATATATATATATGTTATAAGTTGATCAAGCACCAGGGCCATAGACGATACCTTCACCACGGACGGGAGGGAGGGACACCCTTTCCACTCACCACCCAACAGCCATATACGTTTACACTTGTACTGTGACTTCCTTACAATACTGCCCTCATCTCCCTCGCTCCATCCCCTCACACACACACGAGATAGAATTACTGGAGCGCCAATGATGTCAACAAAAATTTCTCACCAGGACACACACACGCGCACACGAGTTTGGAAGAGCCAGCCCGAGGCGACCTGGCTACGTCCACTCCCAAAGTCTCTCCAGGTTTTCTCTACCTCTCTCAAATTTGTCTTGAGTCCCTCAAGCCACACAAAATACACCAGATCATCTCTGTCAATGGACGGCTGGCGAGAAAAAGGTGTCATGGTTTAGCGTTGGAATAAAGCGGGGTTCTGTGGTCGCCGACAAAAACATCTCTCAAATCCAATTCCCGGCGAAAATACTCCGGCCAACACAACTCCAGCCAGAAGGAGTCCCACTGGACCACTGCATACAAAGAAGTTTCCCCTCAACCACACAGATGGAGTAAAAATAATGGTGATTTGATTAAGAAAATTGAAACCCTGGTCAGACACGGTGCGGGAGGTGGCCATTGGCTCGCCAGCCTGTGTTTACACCCGCCACCACTGTTGCCAACTGCCTCTGCCGTCACCTCTTCCGCTTCTCAACCGTATACATTTTAAAAAGTCATAAATATATGCTATTGTGCCTTATAGAACATCACACTATAATTCTTACACAAAATATAATCTGATCAACATATTCCTATAAGTATAATCAAACAGGACTTGTGTTGAAAGAAGGTATCTGTCTCTCCCCACGCTGGTAAAGGTTGTGGTCGTGTTGGTGTACAGTCCCCTGAGAGTTCAAGTCAGGAATATAACCAGATTAATACGATTGGCTGTTGTGAGACACTCTGGTGCAGGCGTTGCCACCTTTCTCCGCACTCAGGAGCACACGACTTACTGTTCATCACCCTCAGGCAGCAAAAAAGTAAACCGGTAATTGTTGTCGCTAATGATCCACGAGCGACAGAAAGGTGTTTACAACGAGTAGAAATCCTCACATACATGCTCAACTAAATCGTATGCTGCTGAAAAGTCGATTTTGATATTGGAAAGGTCTATGTTGACATCAAAGCAAGACAATAAACAGGTTTCCGTATGTACTGTACATGTGTGTTTGTGAAGTCTACCAACTAATGTACCTGTATATTGACTTGAGTTAAGTGTATCCAAGAATGGTGGTGTAATTTTATTTTTCCAACAGTTCAAAACACATTGAAAGGGGGAATTAGGAGTATATTTGGTGAAACGAATAATACAACATATACAGTATAGAGATGACGAAACTACAGTATATTACTATAATTATTTGAAAGGATAGAACAGTTACCCATAAACCATTTTCTTTGTTGTGTATATAAATGAAAACAAACAAAACATATTGGAACTTAATTTAACATGATTTCTACTGATCGCTTAGAAGTTTTATTCGATTCAACATGATTTTTTTTTCGGGGTTAAATTATACTGATTACTTTGTGGAAAAGTAACGCATTAAGTTACGGGGTTCATAGACGAAACGGCAAATGTTAGAATAATATCAAGGAACAGAACTACTCCACACATATCTTTAATGCCCGAATATAACCTAACCTAACCTAACCTAATCCTCTGTAGCGTGTGTTGGGGCACTATAGCTTAACGTGTAGGATCATGAAGTATTACTGGCTCCTGTAGAAGGCGCTGTAGCGTGGCGTAGCGTGGCGGAGTCTCGGGTTACATGAAGGACGGATGTTTCCACACACACACACATGTTAAGTTTCTTGGCACCATGTAAACTGTTAGGGCGGCTCCTAGTGCTCCCGCCCACACACACACACACACACAAACATACACCATACATACCGCCTCTCTAGCGCCACCACGAGCAATCAACATCACCAGCACGAGCAGTTAAGAGCGCCACCAGCAGCAATATCAGTTCTAAAGACTCGGTAGCATCAAAAGAATAGCGACAAGCGTTTTCCCCTCCCCCTACAAAATGACGCATTAATGGAATCTACGCCAGACATACGTTCGCTTGCCTCCTCTACCAGCAGTGACGCTCGCTCTCTCCTCGTGGTAGGAGTCGAAACTTCGTCAGGAGACATAAATTACAAAACTATCTCCATTGTTAAGTATAGATTTATAAACCTCTCTCTCTCTCTCTCTCTCTCTCTTTCTCTCTCATTTAATTGCACCAATAATTAAGATAACTAATAGAATAAACAAATATTTTTTTTTACACAAGAAGCAAAACTTTATGAAACTGTCATCAATACAACCTTCCATAAATCCGTCTGTAGCCGAAAACGACCTTCCAATTAATCCACCTCACTAAGAAACCACTTCCAATTAATCCACCTCACTAAGAAACCACTCCAATTAATCCACCTCACTAAGAAACCACTCCAATTAATCCACCTCAAAGAAACCACTCCAATTAATCCACCTCAAAGAAACCACTCCAATTAATCCACCTTACTAAGAAACCACTTCCAATTAATCCACCTCAAAGAAACCACTCCAATTAATCCACCTCAAGAAACCAAATCCACTTCCAACCCTCAGAAACCAAGAAACCACTTAATCCGAAAATCCACCTTACTAAGAAACCACTTCCAATTAATCACCTCAAAACCACTTCCAATTAATCCACCTCAAAGAAACCACTCTAATTAATCCACCTCAAAGAAACCACTCCAATTAATCCACCTTACTAAGAAACCACTTCCAATTAATCCACCTCAAAGAAACCACTTCCAATTAATCCACCTCACTAAGAAACCACTTCCAATTAATCCACCTCAAAGAAACCACTCTAATTAATCCACCTCACTATTAACGCCCATAATTAATGCAGCTGTAGCCAAGAGCGACCACCCATTAATCTCCCTATTGAGTAAAAAGATATACCCACTTATATCCGGTTTATCCAGTAGTTAAGATGGGACTTTTACGTAATCCTTAATTGACAGTACTGGGATGGTCGATAGATAGATAGATAGATAGATAGATATTCCAAAAGTGAAGATAGTAAAATACGAAAGAGAGAGAGAGAGGAAAGGAAAACAAACAGACCAAATAATGAAAAACTGAGATACAAAAAGACAATAAAATAAGAAAATCTGAGAGAGATAAATATAAAGAGTAAGGCAAAGGATTAAGGAATAGAGAGAGGAGGAGAGAGAGCACAATAAGGGGGATGGGACGGACTAAGACAAACAGGGGAGGGGGGTGGAGGTGAGGGGTGATCTCTTGTGTTTAGTAACGTGAGAGGTTGTACCCCCTTTGTTGTACCCCCCCTTTACCGCACTCCTACCCCCCCACCCCCCGTCCTCCTACCTCCTCTACTGTCATCTCCCCTCCACTACTATAGTTACTCCTTACACCTAACCTAACCTAACCTAACCTAATCTATCCCTACCCTACCCTAACCTACCCCTAACTTAATTAACCCAACCTATCTCTAAAATAACCTAACCTAATCTATCCCTACCCTACCCTAACCTACCCCTAACTTAACTAACCCAACCTATCTCTAAAATAACCTAACCTAACCTAACCTAAACTAACCCAACCTATCTCTAACCTAACCTAACCCAACCCACAATTTTTGGTATTACATGAAAATCCTGGATCAGGTCTTGGGATTAGTTTACGGTCGGGAATAAAAAAACGCCGTGAAGTGAAGTCTCGTGGGCCCCCAAAACAAAAGAAAAACGCCACTGACGACTAAAATTGAGCGCTCTTAAGGTAATTTGAGTCCGTATTCTCCAAGATATAGATTTATAATGTATTTA